CATCATCATCATCATCAACAGCCTATAAATGCCCACTGCTGAGCAAAGCCTCTTCTCACACGGAGAAGGTTAGAGCATTAATCACCACGCTTGCTCAATGCGGGTTGGTGATTTCAAACTTATAATTAGAAATTATAAGTTCAGGTTTCCTCACGATGTTTTTCCTTCACCGTTTGTCAGTGGTGTCTAAATAATCTTAGAAAGTACATATAACTCGGAAAAAGTCACATTGGTACTTGCCGTTGGTAGGTTTCGAACGCGCACCCTCATGCATGAGAAGTGGGCGTCTTAAACCTCCGGGCCACCACGACATTAATTAAATCTGTACTAAATAATTATTATGTTTTCGGCTTACTCACGTAATTGTTTGACGAGGAACTCGACTAGTTTCAAGCCATGCTAGAGGCTCATGTTCATGAACAGTATTCCGCGACCCGCGACGCGGAGACTAGACTTGATTATTAGCAGCGCGACAGTCGCCGCGTCGCATTTTTTTTATGGCATAAGCCGGTAAACGAGCAGACGGATCACCTGATGGTAAGCAATCGCCGTCGCCCATGAACACCTGGAACACCAGAGGCGTTACAAGTGCGTTACCGGCCTTTTGGGGATTGGGAGTTTGAGGATCGTTGGGGATTCGGGGATTGGGGAGATTGGGGAACGGGGAGGGTAATTGGGCCTCCGGTAACCTCACTTACACGACGAAACACAACGCAAGCGTTGCTTCATGTCGGTTTTCTGCTCGGCCGTGGTATCACTCCGGTCGAGCCGGCCCATTCGTGCCGAAGCATGGCTTGGGAGAGCCTGCATGCATGTCGAGTTTTTCGTCATGCAGTTACGTGAGTAAGCCGAAAACATAATAATTAATTAAGCATGTCTCACAAAAGGTTTAATATAAACATCTCTACTAATTATTACGCTTAACCCCTCGAGCGTCCTTATGAGCCGGTAGATCATAAGAAAAAATGCTCCATGCTGCTTTCTCTTTTATAAAATCTATTATTAATGTTTTGTTTTTATTTTGACTGTGTTTGTTTTATTTCTATTGTAATGATCCTTGTTTTCGTGTGCCAATGGCCAAATAAATGCATTTTCTTTCTTTCTTTCTTTCTTTCTCGAAATGTCACGTGTGCACCCGTAGGATCATAAGGAATGCGGACGCTCGACGGGTTAATATAAACATCTCTACTAATATTATTATGCTTAAAGAGTTTGTTTGTTTAAACGCGCTGATCCCTGGAAGTACTGGTTCTAATTGATTAATTATTTTCGTATAGTGAACCTGATTGGAAAAGAGTAACATATGGAGTTTCTTGCTCGTTCTTCTCCATAGGAATCTACACCTTGGAATGAGCAAATAGCTTCACTTTTAATTTTATAGTTGACGTTCAAAAGTGCCTTTCTGGTCTAATTGGGATAAATTATTTTGACTTTTGACTTTTAGTATTGGATAGTCGGGGATTTTCGTGGAAGGCTATAAGTTAAAGAACATCAATAGGAGCCGAGCACCGACTGAAACCGCGCTGGTGTATCTATCACGCTAATATTATAAATGTGAAAGTTTCTTTGTTTTTATGTTTGCTTGTTTATCCGTCACGCTAAAACTACTTAACGGATATTAATGAAATTTGATATACAGGCAGGGTATGGGCTGACTTGAGTGATCATCATCAACAGCCTATAAATGCCTACCGCTGAGCAAAGCCTCTTCTCACACGGAGAAGGTTTGAGTATTAATCACCACGCTTGCTCAATGCGGGTTGGCGATTACAAACTTATAATTAGAAATTATAAGCCCAGGTTTCCTCACGATGTTTTTCCTTCACCGTTTGTCAGTGGTGTCTAAATAATCTTAGAAAGTACATATAACTCGGAAAGTCACATTGGTACTTGCCGTTGGTAGGTTTCGAACCCGCATTCTCATGTATAAGAAGCCAGCGTCTTAAACCTCCGGGCCACCACGACATTAGTGACGACTTCGGTGATAGAAATCTTTATATCGTGATTAAAATGCTCCCATGGGATCATATTTTAAGCGGACGAAATCGCAGGTAATAAGCTAGTATTGAATAAACATCCGATTCTACTATATTTATCCACTATTCAGGATCCATTTTGAGTATCTATCGAAATAGCAATCTCTAGATACATTACATAGTTTAGTCACAAACATATATGTATACACAAAAGTGCTACAAAATAAACACAACTTGCCAATAGACATTCAGGACATGATACTGAACAATATTATATTGCAATTTTAGAAAACTGAACATAATATAACATCACAGGTTACCCAACCACTGAGGATTTTACTGCTCACCCAGGCGGGAGGGAGTGTCAGACCACCCCGTTCCTTCTCCTGCATTTCGAGCCGAAGCCCCGGTAACCCGTTAGTTTTTCCGCGACTCCCACTGGGGTTAGAAGTCGGCGCTATAAGTTCTATACAAAATTATTCATTAAAACCTCAATACTTCGATACCTAATTTACAATTTTGTGGCCATTAAGATATATCATTATGATATGAGCTTATGGCACCGACTTCTAACCTATCAGTGGGTGGGTAACCTATCAGTACTAATAATAGTTATTTTTTGCTTTTTAGTTTTGACGTTTTGTTTGTTTTTAGTTTTTGGTTTTTTGAAGTCGGTTTTTAAACGCAATTTTTATTTTATTATTTTATCTTTTTTAGTTTAAAGCTACATCATCAGACCCTTAATGACAGTCCCACTCTATCTAGGTGTAAAGTCCTCATCAATACAAATTAATCAAGCCTTAACACAAGGTAGTTTATATAAATCACTGAGGAGTTTTCTCGACTGTCTGTCGGCTCCAGACCCTTATCAAATTGTAGTGTTTAAAAATCCTAATTGAAAAACATAAGACGCATTACTCGTCCCTAGAATTTTCGAAAGTTCCCCTCGGTTTCCCTAGGATCCCATCATCAGATCCTGACCTCATGTAAATGGGACCATCTCGGGAGTATACCCTTTCAAACAAAACAAGAATTTTGGTAATCGGTTCAAAAATGGCGGAGAAATGCGCGAACAAACAATTAGCCGAACATAGTACCTCCTCCTTTTTTTTGAAATCGATAAAAATATACCTTCGACGCAGTATAGCAGCGTCGGGTATATTAGTAAAATGAAAAAGGTTCAGTAAAATGTCTTCAAAAAGTTCTGTGCAAGGCGTTTATTTTGTTAACACATTTGAAAGGAATTTCAATTAAAACCTTTAGTTTGCAAGCCTTTGAATTTAGTAATCTCTATACCATTTTATTTAGTACGCAGGTAACAATATAATGATTGATTCAGTACATAGACAGTAACCTTTAGTTGTCTACTGAGTCCACGAATGGTTACAGAAGATATGACTTCGTTACAAAGCATATAATTGAGTATGTTCCTTAATCAAAACTAATTTATTTGGACTGTTTAATAAAATAAAATATTAAAAAAATCACACTTTCAGTAATTGATTTTATGACCAACTTAATTTTAGTATTTTTCCAGCAAATTGTTAAGAAATAAGGTATGCTGTGTGACGCTTTTTTTGACGAAAAGGAGTTTAACATAGTCTTGTTTCGTATGACCTTTGTTCGATGATCAGTTTCTATAACATAGCTTGATTTAAAATATTTGATTTTAATTAAAATCCCTCTCACTAAGGGCTCGTACACAGAACTGCGATGCGAATTAACAACGCATAAAATTACGACACGAATTGCTGCGGTGCGATTTCGTGCGACAAGGCGTCTCCCAGGGTAACCATTCCTTCGACGACCGTCAACCGTACTAAACGTATTTTAAATTGAAAACTAGGTCGTGACATGGATCGTAAAAAGAAGTGTGCACTTCTGTTATTGCTTAGGAGATACAGGAAAAAGAAACAAAGAAGATTTTGGGAAGATAAGATTTTGATGCGCGATGCGAATCAATTCGCAAGTTCTTGCGATGCGTAGAGGGAGCTCGCACATTTTTGCGATGCGACGTCGCATCGCAGTTTTGTGTACGCGCCCTAAAGATTATTAAATACAACAAAGCATTAAATAACAACACATTTAAGATAATAATGTTTTTACAATGCGATTTTATTTAGTCATATCAATTTTGACACAAGATAATAACGTCAACTGTCATTATAACATGAACTGTCATTTCAAGATGACAGCTAAAGGTCAGTAACCCTTTAAAAAATCGCATTGTACAAATATAGACTTTATATCTTAAGTATTACCAGCGATATTACACTATCGTTACCATGGAGAGGCGCATAATTTTAATAGATTAGATTTTTTAACAATTATAATTAAAAAACATTATAAATCATACATAATTAGGTTTTTATTTATTTCTAATATCAATCTGTATACGAAATACCCCTTTTTTGTTAAAATACTGAAATCGTGTATTTTTGAAGCATCATCGTCAACAGCCTATAAGTGGCTACTGCTGACCAAAGCCGTCTTCTCGCACGGAGAAGGTATGAGCATTAATCATAACGCTTGCTCAATGCGGCATTTGTTTTTAAGGAAAACTTTGCCCCACACTTGGTATCCATCCTGTGTCGTGTGTGCGTTTACAAACATACAAATTCACATACACATGACACCCAGACCCGGAACAACAATCTGTGGATCACACAAAGAGTTGCTCCGTGCGGGGATCGATACCGCGACACGTTGCGTGGAACACAATTGCCCAGCCACCGCATCAACCATGCAGTCAGATGACAATTATGTTGACTATCTAAATATTTTTATTAAATCAAATTTATACTTGGGATATTTCGTATGATAAAATTATAACTACGTTAAAAATAGTGATAAATTAGAAAAAATACAGCTTGTAATCAAATTGGGGAAAACATTTCATATATTACTCCAACGACCGCACAAAATTATTTAACCACAACATCAACTAAATTGACACCAGAATCAATTTATTTGACCCCAAAATCAACTCATTTGACCCCAGAATCAACTCATTTGACCCCAATCTCAAACAACAAATCTCTCAACCTTACAATGTTGCACATCATCGTCCATATACTCCACGAGCCGCTTGTTAGGTATTACCTTATGTACTCTCTTCCTATGTGTATATAAGGACGCTTTTTGCTTGAACGTCTGCTGGCATATGTCACAGGAGAGAGGTCGTTCACTCGAGTGGATTACTTCGTGTTGGGTTAGAGCTTTTTTATCCTGAAATAAAATATATTATTTTTTTAATTGATTGCAGAACATAGGCTTGTTTTTTGATGGAAATAATTGGGTGCTTGCAAACTAGTCAAATTCAATACATTTTTCGAATTGGAGTGTCAGACTCTTACTAACTAAACACCACCCCGTTCTTATTCATGCTTAGTTTCAAGAGCCCTATTGTATGTTAGGATTAGGATTCTTTTGCGAAGCAGTCATGCTAGCTAAGGAGGAGGCGGGACGCGTCCTCGCAACCCAGCCATCGCGAAGGACACACCGGGCGTCGGGGATCGCGGGACGATCTCCGGCCACCGTAAGCGCGGGCCTGCGGACGGCGAGCATGGGTGGCTCCCCGTCCGACCAGAAACAGACCCGAGCGTACGGCGCCGAGCGGTCCGCGCGCGACACAAAGAGCCATCAGACCACCACGGATGGGGTCCAATAGGGTTGATGCCGATACGGAGCCGCGGAGAACTTAACGGGTTATCTGGGCTCCGGCTCGAAGTGCAGGAGTAGGAACGGGGTGGTTTTTAGTCAGTAAGAGTCTGACACTCCCTCCCGCCTCACCCAGGCGGGAGCAGTCATTCGATGAGTTTCCCCGCTTAAAAAAATAATAATTTGATATGGGTTCTATTACTATATGAATCTATAGCTGTCTCGTTGGCCGAGTTTTCGCAAGTGCGGCAAGGAGTGTCGGGTTCAATTCCCGGGTCGGGTAAAGTTCAACTGAGTTTTAAAACAAAAAATCTCAATAGTAGCACGGAGTCTAGAATTGTGCCCGGTTTATCACCCCCTACATGGGAGTCGTAACACAAATAGTAAAAAGTAGGCGTAACATTGTACAATGGCTCCGTTCCGTAATGTGCACCTCTGCCTACCCCTTCGGGAATAAAGGGTGTGATGTAAGTTTTATTAGGTACTGCAGTTGTTATTAAAAAATGGCTAAGATATTGATATCACAGGTTTTCTATGCACTTACCGTGAACGGCTTCCCGCACTCTTGACATATATGCGTCCGCGGTTTCTCCTTCTTTTGACCATGTATCCTCATCATATGTTTGTCTACATTCGCTCGGGAGGCTATGGGCTGGAAAAAGTATTTTACATTAACCGACTTCAAAAATGAGGTTCACAGAATGACCTGTATTTATGTATGGTATTTTTTTAAAGGGGGGGAAATCATCGAAGTACTGCTCTCGCCTGGGTGAGGCGGGAGGGAATGTCAGACTCTTACTGACTAAAAACCACCCCGTTCCTACTCCTGCACGTCGAGCCGGAGCCCCGGTAACCCGTTAGGTTCTCCGCGACTCCGAATGTACGTATGGTATGTCTCTGGGCGATTATTTCGCCATTTCCTGAACATTTTAAATACTTTCAGAGAATTGTTTGTTATACTTTGGAGAAAGTTTTAATATAATTATGTATTAATTAACCGACTTCAAGAAAAGAAGGGGTTGACATTGGTTTTTTAACGTATTTCATAAAAGAATTGAGTACTTGCCATAATCAAAAATAAATTATTTCGACTGTTCAATACAACAAAATTATCGATTTTATGACCAAGTCAATTATACTATTTTTTCAGCATTTTAATAAGAAATAAATATGCTGTTTGGCGCTAACGTCACAATACACAATCTCGTACAAAATTCATAGAAAACTGTCGTTTGTATTATAACTTTCGTGAGACATACTAAATAAATTATTATTTAGTATACTGCGACGCGGCGACTATAGCGAAATGCTGCTCATGAATATGAGTCTCTAGCATGGCTTGAAACTAGTCGAGTTCCTCGTCAAATAATTACGTTAGTAAGCTGAAAACATAACAATGAAAAACTGTAGATTTTGACAGCTCGAGCAAGATATTAAACTTGACTAGTTGACAAGTACCCAATCATTAAAATTTTGCCTTTCGCCACTTATAAGTAATACCTAACTGCATAAGTAAATTAGTTTATATACATAGTTTATCTCGTTGCTGCCTGCCTCGTTGGCCGAGTGGTCGCAAGCGCGACTGCCGGGCAAGGGGTCTCGGGTTCGATCCCCGGGTCGGGCAAAGTATTACTGGGGTTTTTAAAAAAAAATCTCAGTAGTAGCACGGAATCTGGAATTGTGCCCGGTATATGGCAATAGGCTCACCCCCTATTACATGGGACTCATAACATAAATAGTGAAAAGTGGGTGTTACATTGTACAGTGGCATAATGTGCACCTCTGCCTACCCCTTCGGGGATAAAAGGCGTGATGTTATGTATGTATGTACATAGTTTATCCTGTTTATTTTCTTGTACTTCATATTATAATGTGATGTGTTACCTACCTTATTACATATGGGACACTTATGTGTAGTCTTCCCCAAATGTTGGTAATTGAAATGATCCTGCATCGCTTCTTTAGTTGGATACCCTTTCTTGCACATTGGGCAGGGGAATCTGAAATAGAAATGAAACTGAATTTTCTTTGTTTTTTTTTTATGGTATAAGCCGGTAAACGAGCAGACGGATCACCTGGGGGCTTACTCTTGAATCCAATTAGCCTTTTTCCTGGGAAGATTAAAAAAAAATCCGCTAGGGGCAGCACCGGTGGGGGGGTACATATGTTTTGAATTCTCTATTGACAACAACGTCAAACGTGTAGAATTAAAATGGAATTAAATGAAGATGATGTACCTTTGACGTACGTCGTACGTATTGGTATTGTGAAATTTCGTACTCTTGAGCGCCCATTGCATCCGTATTGCATGGAATTGAATGAACTAAATGGTACTGAATTTGGCTTTATATTCCGTACTCTGAATGCTATTGCAATAGCTACGAAAGGGGTTGTACAGTTTTGACATTGAAACATTATTGAGATTTTATTGGATTGAAATTGCATTGACATTGAGATTGGTGTCAAGAGTAAGCACCCTGATGGTAAGCAATTAGCGTCGCCCATGGACACACGGAACATCAGAGGCGTTACAAGTGCGTTACTGGCCTTTTGGGGATTAGGAATTTGAGGATCGTTGGGGATTCAGGAATTGAGGAGATTGGGGAAGGGGAGGGTAATTGGGCCTCCGGTAACCTCACTCACACGACGAAACACAACGCTGTGGTTGTTTCACTATGGTTTTCTGCTCGTTGGTAGTATCACTCCGGTCGAGCCGGCCCAGCAGTGCTGAAGCATGACTCTCCCACACTTAAATGCGTGGGAGAGCCATGCTTTTATCATAATCCGGTATATTACAACTAATCAAATTCAATACTTTTATAGAAACGTCAAAAGCGATATTGTTCTATGAATTTTGTACCAAAAACTAACTTATGACGTCATCATAATTTCGAAAAAAGTATTGAATTTGACTAGTTGGCCAATACCCAGTTGTAAGTTTATACGAGAAAACAAAATACGTATCTTTTCTTCCACGGGAACACAGAAGCTGAGAAGTGATAAATAATGTAAATATACCTCTATGTAAATGAAGTTTATCACCCTTCATTCAATTTGAATTTGCCGCGCTTAACTTGATTCGAATTTGGCGCGTCATCGGTGTGTGATGTTTGAAGTTTATTAGCTATGCCTCGTTGGATGAGATTACTAGGTTATGTGTAAAATAAAATACCGGTGAATATAAAGTAATAAGTGAAAATATAAGGTGCTCTATAATTTTTAGCCACGGCTTTAATGGGAGGTAGTGTTATGTTTACAGATTACAATTGTGAAGAAATTTCGTGCCCCGGACCAGTTAATTACATACAGTAATTAAGTAAACATTGACTACATTCTGCATAATGTGGTTCACAAATTACGCGCGATGCGTCGCTTAGTCAATGAAAACAATTGCTATCTCTTTCCACGTGTACTGAGAATGAAAACGGAAATCAGCTGACTAGTTCGTCACTATCTAATCTACTAGATACTCAATAGGCAGGCTAACAAGGGTTTTAAAAGTGCAATTACTTACCAGGTACGGCATTCTTCCGAAAAGCTGATGTAGGTAAATAAGATTATAAACTTCCCATCACACTTAAAACAGTTTTTTACACACTCTCTACCTACTTATCTACAAAACTGTTGCACAAGTCCACCTTCGCGTTGCACACAAATGAAGGCACGCTTCCAAACATGTCATATCACATTATTTAACGTGTCCGTTTCACTTTTACTTTGTTTCGCGTTTGACTCCACAAGTTATTGTCTCTATCATCGTAAACTCCGGCGGTATCCCTTGTGCACGCAAGAAGATGACACCGAAAGAACTCTAACACTTCCTCTTCGAGTTCTGATTTGAATTTCGTCGCCTGGGAGTCATTTTTACGTAGCGCGCGCGTATCTCCGACATTAAAACTAACGTGCGGGCAGGCAGGGGTTGACGGGGCTACTGGCGGCCGGGCGGCGCGTGCGACGAGTTCTGCTGGCTGGGGTGTGCTGTCTCGTTCTTGAACGCCCCGTCATACGCTGTTGCCATCCTTATCAGTAGCTCAACCCCCGCCTGCCCGGCGGCCGGTTGACCAGCGCGTGCGACGAGTGCAGGAGAGGGTGCGGGCGCGCGGGGGTGTGCAGCGTGCTCGTAGCCGCCCGGCGCGAGCGGTCTGATAAGGATGGCAACAGCGTATGACGGGGCGTTCAAGAACGAGACAACACACCCCAGCAGAACTCGTCGCACGCGCCGCCCGGCCGCCAGTAGCCCCGTCAACCCCTGCCTGCCCGCACGTTAGTTTTAATGTCGGAGATACGCGCGCGCTACGTAAAAATGACTCCCAGGCGACGAAATTCAAATCAGAACTCGAAGAGGAAGTGTTAGAGTTCTTTCGGTGTCATCTTCTTGCGTGCACAAGGGATACCGCCGGAGTTTACGATGATAGAGACAATAACTTGTGGAGTCAAACGCGAAACAAAGTAAAAGTGAAACGGACACGTTAAATAATGTGATATGACATGTTTGGAAGCGTGCCTTCATTTGTGTGCAACGCGAAGGTGGACTTGTGCAACAGTTTTGTAGATAAGTAGGTAGAGAGTGTGTAAAAAACTGTTTTAAGTGTGATGGGAAGTTTATAATCTTATTTACCTACATCAGCTTTTCGGAAGAATGCCGTACCTGGTAAGCAATTGCACTTTTAAAACCCTTGTTAGCCTGCCTATTGAGTATCTAGTAGATTAGATAGTGACGAACTAGTCAGCTGATTTCCGTTTTCATTCTCAGTACACGTGGAAAGAGATAGCAATTGTTTTCATTGACTAAGCGACGCATCGCGCGTAATTTGTGAACCACATTATGCAGAATGTAGTCAATGTTTACTTAATTACTGTATGTAATTAACTGGTCCGGGGCACGAAATTTCTTCACAATTGTAATCTGTAAACATAACACTACCTCCCATTAAAGCCGTGGCTAAAAATTATAGAGCACCTTATATAGCTTAAATGTTGTTTCTCTTTTCAGGTGAGGATTGTTATTAATTGTAAATACCTTACCATTGTATTTGATTGTTAAAACATATTGTTTATAAAAATAAACTCTCTTTTCAGAGCAACGCATTTCGCAATTATTTTATCGACAGTTACAAGTCATTAAATTAGAACATTATAAAACAACAATATACAACATGTAACTTAAATAACGCACATCCTGAAAATACTTTGTTCAGAATCGTTAACTGAATCGATTTACATAATTTTTAATATAGGTAATTTTTTATCCCAAAAATAATTAAAACTACGGAAATCATCGTCATATTCAAAGTCAAAGTCAAAAGTCAAAAATCATTTATTTCAATTAGAACAGGAAGGCACTTTTGAACGTCAGCAATAGAAATCTAAAAGTGAAGCTATTTGCTCATTCCAAGGTGTAGATTCCTATGGAGAAGAACCAGTAAGAAACTCAGGTTACTCTTTTCCAATCAGTTTCACAATACAATTCTTCAGTTACACAGTTTTATTGGTTTGATTGTGCGAGAACAACGTAACACCAAATCTAGCCAATTTATATTAACCCATAATTATTTATTTATTTATTTATTTATTTAATCTTTAATGTACACAATTTTAATATGGCACATAAGGCGGACTTAATGCCATATGGCATTCTCTACCAGTCAACCTTAGGGTTTAAATTATCAACCCTGTATTGTTAAAACAAATCGAAATGGACCGTAAGTCAAAGCAATAAGACTTTTAAAATCGCAGTTTTATTTGTATTCATACAAATTCTATCATTCAATACAAAATAAAGAGAAATAAACCTTATGACAAGACCAGTAAGGATGCATATACATGTTAAATTAAAAATTTAGTGTATATATATTATGACTATAACATAATATTCTAATTGGGATGTTTGAGGGTGTGCATTAATTACGTTACATGTTGTATCTTTATATATATAATTCTTCTGTGAGTGTGTATGTCACTGAACTTCTCTCAAACGACTGGACCGATTTTGATTAAATTTTTTGTGTGTTCAAGGGGATCTGGGAATGGTTTAGATTCACAAATCAGCCCGGCAGATGGCGCTGCAGTCGATGTTTAGGTTATTTATCCTGAACAGCTGAACTAATTTGAATGAATTTTTGTTTATACATTCAAGTGGATATGCAGGACAACGTCTGTTGGGTCCGCTAGTATATATATGTAAGATGCTTTGTATAATGTGTGTGCGCAGCCTTATTACCAGCCTTGTGTTCGTCGCCTAACAAGAATGACGTTTGACACGAAGTGGGACAGTGACAGCTGACAGCAGCCCGCGCTTTTTTCCATAGAATGCAAAACCTCGGGTAGATTTAATAATGTAATATTTTCAAATTGTATTATAGTTTTATAGAAGAAAAGTTAAATTGCTTGTTCAACTGATGAATGTAATACAGTGTCGATCTACTGAAATATTGGAAGTAAAAACCTTTAATTGTCGATTTTTCTGTTTTAAGGGTACTTTTAATTTGGCCATTCTTTAATATATCGCCAATCTGGTCACTATATGTCCGTCTAGGGCACCCTCTACCGACGGCTCCATTCATATCCAAATTAAAAGTACCCTTAACCGACGAGCATGCATTAAAAGATTGATGACTGTTAATGAAGCGAAAGAGGTATGTAAGAATCGTAGTAATTGGCGTTCCTTAGTCTCTGCCTACCCCCATGGGAGACAGGCGTGAAGTTATGTATGTATGTATTTTCTGTTTTAGGTTGGTATTGGTAATGTGTACATGTTTGATCTTAATTAATTTGTGTGTTTCAATTGATGTTAACAATAAACTTTCTGTTTTAGATAAATCAAAATTGTGCGTTATTTGCTCCTGTATTATCCTACATATTACATATATATGACTTACTTGAACACCTGCTCTGAAGCGTGGGCTCTAGAATACTTCAAATGTGCCTGGTACGTGGCTAAATGTGAGAACGTCTTGTTGCAGTCAGTACACTCGTATCGACTCTTGTTCTGATGTCTTTGAATGTGGTACTTCAATTGTATCACTCGGACCATCTTGTGGCATATCGGACATTCTGATCGAGGCAACGGACCTTCGTGAAGTCTGAAAGAAAAAAAGTATAAGTTTTTTTTTAAATCTTTAAGTAGCTCGACTGCCTCGTTGGCCGAGTGGTCGTAAGTGCGACTGCCGGGCAAGGGGTCTCGGGTTCGATTCCCGGGTCGGGCAAAGAATTACTGGGTTTTTAAATATTCTCAGTAGTAGCACGGAGTCTGGCATTGTGCCCGGTATATAGCAAAAGGCTCACCCCCTATTACATAGGACTCATAACATAAATAGTGAAAAATGAGTGTTACATTGTACAGTGATATAATGTGCATCTTTGCCTACCCCTTCGGGGATAAAAGGCGAGATGATATGATGTTAAGTAATTTTTTTTAAATCAAGCTTTTATGCAAGACTTAGCATCGCGCCTTTTATCCCCGAAGGGATAGGCAGAGGTGTACATTGCGGCACTTAAAGTCACTGTAAAAATGTAACACTCACTTTTCTCTATTTATGTTATGAAGCTTAGCAATGAAAGCCTACCACAGCCTCCCAAAACCGCTGCAACTCCTGTAAGCCAGGATCTACAGAAGATATAATCATGAAAACACCGGAACACTATCCCAGGGACATGAATAACTGTCTTGGTTCCCGCAACGAAGCCAAATTCAAATTCATTTATTAATTGTAAACAGGTTACATTAGGATCTTAAATAACATTTTTAAACGCTATGTTAGCTTTTGTTAGCAAACAAAATTATAAAATTGTCTCTATTTGTTCTGTATGTTTGTTTTTACGCGATGGGGTGAACCAATTATGATATAGCTAGCAGAAAACTGTTTGTACACCTTAGGAGAAGGTTTTCGTATATTAATTAACCGACCTCAAAGAAGAGGGAGTTTTTTTTAAGGGGTAAAATCATCGAATGACTGCTCCCGCCTGGGTGAGGCGGGAGGGAGTGTCAGACTCTTACTGACTAAAAATCACCCCGTTCCTACTCCTGCACGTCGAGCCGGAGCCCCGGTTACCCGTTAGGTTCTCCGCGACGAAGAAGAAGAGGGGATTGAAGTAGGTTTTCTTAAACGTAGTTTATAACAGAATTATTGTTCACCAGAACGGTGCAAATGTAGCAAGATATTTTTCGTCCAATCCCTTCAGCTGTCAAATGTGGAACGTCCAATGGTGTGACACTAGCTAATTCTCTATTGGACAAAGAACTAGAGGACTACTAGTGCCATCTAGTGAGCAAAAATACGCCATTGGTAAAATTATTGTCCTCTTCCGTGATTGTATTTTTTTATATATTTGATGGGCCGACGTTTAAACACTATATCGTAATTAACCCTTTGAGTACCGTCATTATAGACACAATTAAAGAACAATAGGTTGCGGTCACCGGTGTCCTCGCGGTGTTTGACAGTTTAATTGATATTTAATCTTATGGCTACTTACTTAAGATGTGTTGCCAGCGTAGTTCTGTTAACGAAACGTTTTTTGCAATGGTCACACTGCAGCCCTTCTCTGTGGAAGCGAGCCACGTGATTCTTGCGCGCTCGGGAGTTTCTGTAATAAAAATATAAACAAACTTTACAATCCAATTTTTACATAGTATAAAACGAAATCGCTATCCGCCGTCTGTCTGTCCCTAGTATGCTTAGATCTTTAAAACCACGCAACGGATTTTGATGCGGATTTTTTTCGATCGACATTGGCATTGTGAAATTTCGTACTCTTGAGTTGCAACACTAGCGCCCATTGCATCCGTATTGCGTGGATATTGAATGAACTAAATGGTATTTAATTTGGCTTTATATTCCGTACTCTGAATGGTATTTTAACAGCTACGGTAGCTTGTATAGTGATGACATTGAATAATTATTGAGATTTTATTGGATTGAACTTGCATTGGCATGATTTCAAGAGTAAGCACCCTGGTTCTGGTCGGATAGCGAGCTACCCGTGCTCGCCGTCCGCAGGCCCGTGCTTACGGTGGCCGGAGATCGCCTCGCGATCCCCGACGCCCGGAGTGTCTCTCGCGACGGCCGGGTCGTGAGGAGGTTCGTTCCCCCACGCGCTCCGCCTCCTCCTTAGCTAGCATGATTGCTTCGCGCACAATATACCCTACTCACCATATTATGTACTTGAACTTATTTTTAGTGAAAAAATCGCGCGATTATTGTTAAAAAAATACACACAGGCCGTTCGCGATCCCGCGACGGCAATGAACTTACTTGAAGAACATATCGCACTCTAAGCACTGGTACCCCTCTATAGACGTCTTGGACAATAGTTTACGCAAGTCGCCCGGCTTCGGGGGGTCCTTCTGATCTTTTGTCTCCTTATCCTTCTTCTTTCTACCCTGGAATTTTAAAATATAGAATTTTTGAGTTTATATTTTGTTGTTAGAAATGCCTCGTCGACGGAGTGGTCGCAAATGCGACTGCCAAGCAAGCGGTCTCGGGTTCGATTCAAGATTCAGGCAAAATATTGCTGGGTTTTTCTGAAATTGTGCCCTATGGCAATAGGCTCACCCCCTATTACATGGGACTCATAACATAAATAGTGAAAAATGGGTGTTACATAGCTATACACGGCCACACATCAATATATACAAAACCAGTTTATCCTGGTGTCGCGTCGCATCATCTTTCCGCACATTTAACGTTCAGTTTGTACTGGTTATGTAAAGCTCGATGTGTAGCCGAGTGTACAGTGGCATTAAGTGCCGTATTGTGCACCTACGTAGTCGGAGATAAAAGATGTTATATATTGTTCTATCAAAAATATATGTGGATACATAACATAACATAACATCACGCCTTTTATCCCCGAAGGGTTAGGTAGAGGTGCACATTATGCACATATTGTTAATTATAACAAAATAATGCTCATTCGTTTGTAAGTCTTTAATAGTCATTAGTAGTACAGACGACAGTATGTGACAGCTTTATTATTGTTTGTCTATAGTACCTACATTTTGTCTATGCTTGTCTATGGAAATAAAAAGTTAGTCGTTACTGTGAATTCTAAAACTGCGTTTTATTACCTACTAGCTTTTACCCGCAGCTTCGCTCGCGTCACAAAAGGATAGAACGTAGCCTATGTGACATATACCAATACACATAGCGCCATCTATACCAATACTTTTGTTTTTCCTCGGGAATATCAATTTTTTCCGGGTTAAAAAGTACCCTTTTATTTAATACGGACTTCTAACTTTACGTCTGCAAAAATTCAAAGCAATCGGTTGAGTAGAACAAACAAACTCACTTTCAGATTTATAATAAGTCAGATGTGGAGATCATCATCATCATCATCATCATCATAATAACATCACGCCTTTTATCCCCGAAGGGGTAGGCAGAGGTGCACATAGAAGTAACACCCACTTTTCACTATTTATGTTATGAGTCCCATGTAATAGGGGGTGAGGCTATTGCCATATACCGGGCACATTTCCAGACTCCGTGCTACTACTGAGATTTTTAAAAAATCCCAGTAATACTTTGCCCGACCCGGGAATCGAACCCGAGACCCCTTGCCCGGCAGTCGCACTTGCGACCACTCGGCCAATGAGGCAGAGGCAGATGTGGAGATTTTAGGTGTAAATGCCGTACCTTACTCTTGAGATCCCCAATCTTGATGGTGGACAAGTTGGTCGTGTGCTTGTCCATGTGCGTGGCGCCGTGTAGCTGCGCGAGGCGCGCGCTGGGCTCCTCGTGGCTGCACAGCTTGCAGCGGTACTTCAGGTAGTGCGCGTCCGTGTGCGACGCGATCTTGCTCTCGTCCACGTACACGTAGCATACTTTGCACGCTACTTGACGCGGTTTCTGCAATGAAAAGAGAATCATAATGTTTTTATAATAACTATCGTGAGACATAAACACTAATATCATATATAGGCGAAACGGAGTTCGCCGGGTTTTCTAATAGGCTATAAAACATCTAGCTACGACCAATAGGAGTCGAGCAGAGCGGGTGGAACAGCGCGGAAAAGCTAGTTACTCTATAAAAATATGTATGTATGTACTCACCGCTCTATGCGCTGATACGAAATGGTCTTCAACTTGTTGTTGTGTATAAAACCCAATGATACATAATTCACATTTATACACGGAGCTTGCATACTGAACCTTTTTCTTAGCTTCTTCTCTGTAATATACAAAAAAATATATAAATAAAGCACGTCTTTTATCCCCGAAGGAGTAGGCAGAGGTGCACATTCCGGCTCTTAATGTCACTGTACAATGTAACACCCACTTTTTACTAGAAAACACGGACAGAAGCTACTAGGCTGACTGCCTCGTTAGCCGAGTGGTCGCAAGTGCGACTGCTGGGCAAGGGGTCTCGGGTTCGATTCCCGAGACGGGCAAAGTATTACTGAGTTTTTACAAAAAATCTCAGTAGTAGCACGGAGTCCGGAATTGTGCCCGGTATATGGCAATCGACTCACCCCCTATTACATGGGACTCATAACATAAATAGTGAAAAGTGGGTGTTACATTGTACAGTGGCATAATGTGCACCTCTGCCTACCCCTTCGGGGATAAAAGGCGTGGTGTTATGTTATGTTAAGCTACTAGGCTATAAAACATTACGGTGCGATCTGACTACACGGTTGGTGCGGTAGGCCCAGCTACCGTTGCCAGCCTCGCAACGTGTAGCGGGTACGATTCTGGCACGGAGCAACTCTTTGTGTGATTTAAAAACTGTGTGTCATGTGTATGTGAACTTGTACGTTTGTAAACACACCCACGATACAGGAGAAAATACAGTGTGGGGCAACGTTTAAGAAACAACAAGAGCCCAACAGTGTGTGAATAGCTAGTGCAATAATTAAAATATTTCGTTCGTTTACATCTAGTGTGAACTCGGCAAAGAGGTGCTTAAACCTCAAATTTTATAAGCAGCAATAGATATTTAGTTATTTTTATTGTTTCTCTTGGTTTCTTTATTCATTAATCATATTGTCTGCACGATCTATGTTACAATATTAAACTTTTACTTTTACGCAGAATATAATATGTAGTTCTTGTATTGGCTATGTACGCGACGGTGGCGACGCGTAGCGTTTACAACATTTGCGGAAGCTGTCAAATAATAACAATGTAAACATTATAATTTTCTTTGCAAATACAAATAAAACCAAAGATTAAAATAGTAATGTTGACATTATTTAAGTGCAATTTATTCAATAGTTTTACTGTAAAATTAATATAATAATAAAAACCGGGTTTGCATCATCCGCATTTGTTTCCAATTTGTGCCGTGTTGTGCGCTGCGGTCGTTATCTGTCCGCCACTACTCGCTTTGCACATAGCCAATAGTACTCACACCATATTAATAAATTTATTCAAAATCCTAAACGTGAGGACTTATTACCTACGCCTATTGTTATTTTTATCCATTTTTATAAGCTGTACATCCTCCATGTGAAGTAGTATATGTACTTTAGTATACTTATTATACTCTAAGGGCAGTCTCTAATAAACGCTTGACAAAACCAGACGTGTTTCCTTTTGCAATACACACGCTGACATACTTCACATGAATTATAAATAAACAAATCATTATTACCTGCATTTCAACATATCAGATTCAGTCATGTATTCAGTGACATATCCTAATTTCGGTTCCGTTTTCTCCACCTTCGGCTTAGTATCCGACTGTGTAATTATATTTATAGAATCAATCTGCGTTTTGGTTAGGTTCCTGTAATCAAAAATTTACATTAATTATACAGAATAGAATCATTAATTATATACAATCAATCATCAGCAGCCTATAAGTGGCCGCATTCCGTGCGCGCCTCAAACAGCCATCAGACCACCACAGATGGGGCCCAATAGGGCCGATGCCGATTCGGAGTCGCGGAGAACCTAACGGGTTACCGGGGCTCCGGCTCGACGCGCAGGAGAAGGAACGGGGTGGTTTTTAGTCATTAAGAGTCTGACACTCCCTCCCGCCTCACCCAGGCGGAAGCAGTTATCCGATGATTTTCCCCCACGGAATATAGAATACAATGGAAGTAGCTTGAAACAATATTTCTGCCAGAACCGGTGTCGCCAAACTAATACATTTATAATTTACTCATACTATAAATCGGAAGTTACGATTGGTTAGAAAAAAAATGGGCGTAAACGAAATGCAAAAAAAATATCATACGATATGCAACTTTAAAATCAATGCACTATAAATCAAAATAAAAAAGTATATTTTGGACTACCAAGTACCGCCATTCGTCGCTAGATGGCGTTTAACAATGCCATCTAGCGACGAAAAGTGGTACTTGGTTTGAACTTTAACGTCATAAGAATAAAGGTGATATTTGAATGGCTTATCACTGGCTCGAATGCGGGTCTCTACTCAGGTAGTGATGTAGCCTAATTCGATAAAAATTATATCGATAATATGAAAATGTGTTTTAAAAATAATGTGAAAAAAATATTCACTGCGATAGTGTGACTGCGATAGTAAAATAATAAAATTAATATGTCGTTGATAACTTTTTAAACGTAACAAAAAAGGGTAAGAATTTATTTGCATGTAAATTAAAAATAATTTTGTTCGTATTTTTTATTAGTTTATTTTTTTTTTAAAACATTTTTTTTTATTTCACATAGGCAATATATGTAACAACTATTACATCAATTTTTACAAACTTTATATGGATAATGTGATAAATGAGAGGGATGGCGATAAGGATGACGGTGCTGATCTGCTCCGTGAAGTGAAGGTTGCTTCCAATCACGTCGGGGTCAACACTAAAATAATAATAAAAAAATTATGTAAATAAATGTTACATTACACTTGCATCGATATCAATCGATAAATTCAATATGTGATTTGACTACATCACTATTTGAGTAGCGTAGAACTGGCGAGAATGTTCTATTGAATGGTATAAATCCAAAATAAACTTTATCTTGAAGGCGTAAGGTTGATTTTGACTAACCGTTTTAGTAAATAATATTATTTTAATAACCGTTTTTGTAAATTGAAATAAAATAACATTTCTACGTGAAAACAATGAAAATTGTACTTACCGGTAATACGAAACACCTCTATTTTTACGATTTTTCGGCTGCTATCAATTTTACACGCCAAAACGGAACAAAACGGCATAGTTGAGGAAATATGTATTTGTCACGAGACTAGGAACTCGACGCCATATTCGAACGAGACTGAACTCGAATTTGCCTCGAGTACGCAGTACACGGCTCAGTTGTGGCACGCGTGCCACGCCTACTTGCTACTTTCATTGTATTCTATATTCCGTGTTTTCCCCCCTTAAAAAAAAGCCTATAAGTGGCCAATGCTGACCAAAGGCTTCTTCTCACACGGAGCATGTTGGTGTTACTCATGCAACATCAGCCTTGAACAGTTGATTACAACTATCCTTACTAATATTATAAATCGGAAAGTGAATTTGTTTTTTTATTTGTTTGTTCCGATTTCGCGCCGTAACTACTAAACCGATTGTATTGAATTTATGCAGACGTAAAGTTAGAAGTCTGGATTAAATAATAGGGTACTTTTTATCCCGAAAAAATTTGATATTCCCGAGGGAAAATAAAAGTATATTTCACATAAGCTACTATTTATCCGTTTGTGATGCGAGTGAAGCCGCGGGTAAAAGCTAGTTATAACATAAAAGAAACATTTCAAATCTTACTTTTTTTCAAATTTAAGTAGTTTTTTACCATTACCTGTCGTTTTTTGGAAGCGTCTTCCTTTAGTATAAATACTTAGGACTTTGGTAGGTTATTGATTTATTCGGCCTTAAGTATGGCAACGTATTTGTAACTCCTCTAGTCTACCGGGTGTCCATAGGCGGCGGATTGCTTACCATCAGGTGATCCGTCTGCTCGTTTACTCAAAAAAAATGCGTTTACAAAACTCACCCAATAGTAAGATGAGATATAACTTCATCGCTGGGTCCAGAGTCAAGCACCAAGGCGTCAGTTCCAACAACTTTGTGTGAGATCACTCCACTCACCGGATTCTCCAGGACTATCTCGGGGACTAGGAAACAAACAGGTCGACATAAATAACAGCTAAAATAAACATATCTTTAATTTTAATCTCCCCAATGGGGATGATGACAGGGTATGAAAATTAAAAATCTAATTAGTCCGTAAGTTAGGTAATGAAAAAATATTAGACACGTATTTTTTTATTTTGTCGTATAATAAAACAATACTTAGATAAAACGAATCAAAGTTTAGGAGTGAGGGCTAAAACGTCATTTCTTAGTATAAAATGTACTGAGAAGTGACGTCACGCGACATTTCAAATCAATATATCTTCGAAACTATTCGTTTCTGTGAGAAAAGAAAAAATACGTGTCTAATGTTTTTAAATAATCTACCAGACGGACATTAAAATAAAAATTAGTCGTCTACCCTATTCAGGAATCTCAAACAATCCTCAGATATCTAACCCCGAAAAGGCCGGTAACGTACTTGTAACGGCTCTAGTGTTATCAATAAGTTCCAAGTGTGTGAGAGCCATGCTTCAGCACAAATGGACCGGCTCAACCGGAGTGATACCACGGCCGAGCAGAAAACTATAGTGACACAACCACAGAGTTGTATTCAGTCGTGTGAGGGCAGTGGAGGCCAATTACCCCCCCCCCCCCTCCCAAACACTGAATCCCCAACAATCCTCAAACTCCTAATCCCCAAAAGGCCGATAACGCACTTGTAACGCCTCTGGTGTTCTAGGTGTTCATGGGCGACGCCGATTGTTTACCATCAGGTGATCCGTCCGCTCGCTTATGCCATAAAAAATCACTTGCGACCAAAGCAGAGCCGCTAGCGTATTTTCTTTTTAATTTCTTGATAAATATTATCTGATACAAATATTTTATTAATTGGTAACGATGTTATGACTGCCTCGTTGACCGAGTGGTCGCAAGTGCGACTGCCGGGCAAGGGGTGCGGGGTTCGATTCCCAGGTCGGGCAAAGTCTTAAATGTGTACGTTTTAAAAACTCACCTTCTAAGATATTCTCATCAATATCCAAGATACTGGTATCCTGCACCTGGCTAACATCGTACTGTTCATTCTTAACATTCTGCGGTTGTGTCGGTATAATGTACCCTTCTTCTCCGGTAGAGAAGTCAAAGAAGATCTTGTCATATTCCGTTTTGGTCGTCATCTCGAGGCAGGATAGAGATTGGGACATGTATGTGTGGTCCGCTGTGCTCTGAAATGGGTAATAAAATTGTAGTATTTTTTAAAAGTAAAATGCTTCTTTGGTCTACTGGTACCAAGACGGCACGGTTGATGTGGTGGCTGGGCAACTGGCTGCCGTGAACAGGTTCGATTCCCGCACTGAATAACTCTTTGTGTGATCCACAAGTTGTCGTTCTGGGTCTGGTGTTATGTGTATATGTGTATGTGAAATTGTATGTTTGTAAACACACACACGACATAGGAGAAAATCGTCATGTGTGGCAATGATATAACAAAATAAGAACTGCAGAGTGACAAGCACGGATAAGTATCGCATTTGTATCGTAATATTAACGTGCGCGTTGGGCACTCTGGGGGCTTACTCTTGAATCTAATTCCGATTGATTGGTATTATGAAATTTCGTACTCTTGAGTTGCAACACTAGCGCCCATTGCATCCGTATTGCGTGGATATTGAATGAACTAAATAGTATTGAGTTTGGCTTTATATTCCGTTCTCTGAATGCTATTTTAACAGATACGATTGGGGTTGCATAGTGTTGACATTGAATAATTATTGAGATCTTTAGATTGACATAGAGATTGTTTTCAAGAGTAGATACTGATTGGTTGATTCACTGGTGATGGCCATTCATTCTTCAGTCTCTACAGTCTCTATAGTTCTTTAATTGTCTGAACAACATTTATAATACAACTAGCTACTTCCGCGCGGTTTCACACGCTCTCCTCAGCTCCTATTGGTCGTAGTTATATATGTTTTATAGCCTATAGCCATCCTCAAAACATGCGCTATCCAACACAAAAATAATTATTCAAATCGAAACTTTTAGTTACGGAGATTAGCGCGTTCAAACGACAAACAAAAAAGCAAACTCTTCAGCTTTATATAATAGTATAAGAATATATAATAGTACTAGCGGACCCAACAGACGTTGTCCTGCATATCCACTTGAATGCATTAACAAAAATTCATTCAAATTAGTTCAGCTGTTTACGATAAATAACCTAAACATCGACTGCAGCGCCATCTGCCGGGCTGATTTGTGAATCTAAACCATTCCCAGATCCAAACACACAAAAAATTTCATCAAAATCGGTCCAGTCGTTTGAAAGAAGTTCAGTGACATACACACTCACAGAAGAATTATATATATAAAGATAAGAATAAGACATAAGATTATATAATAGTATAAGATACAATAGTATAAGATTTAGGAAACTAATATGACAATAACCTCGTCTGTCCTGCTAAGGGCCAACACCCTGAGATGCTGCTGTGCGTAGTGGACCTGCCACTTGAACTTCTCGAACTTTTTCAGCAAGGCCAGACATTCCCAGCAGACTAGGTGTTCCATCTCCGGCAGACGTTCGCTAAACTAGAAGATAAAGTAATTACAACGTTAATAATTCGCTTTTGACTGCCACATTGACCGAGTGGTTGTAAGTAGACTGCCTGACAAGGGATCTTGGAATGGATTCCCTGGTTGGACAAAGTATTACAGGATTTTTTAAAAACATCTCAGTAATAGCACGGAGTCTGGAATTGTGCCCCGTATATAGTAATAGGCTCACCCCCTATTACAAAGGACTCATAACATAAATAGTGAAAAGTGAGTGTTACATTGTACAGTGATATTAAAGTGCATCTCAGCCCACCCCTTCGGGAATAAAAGGCATGATGTTATGTTGTTGTTGTTGTAATTCAAGTTTGGGTTACATTTCCAGGTAGGGTAGTTATTGTGACACATACACAATTAGCTAAAAATATTGGTTTATACTCGTACATCTTGTTCACATATACTTAATCTAAACTTATTATTTAACTATTCTAAGTAGGTTATAATACAATGCCTGTATATAACTAAATCTGTATCACAGGCTTTGTGGTCGCATGCATTATACATTAGGATAATATAACTAAGCGTTAACAATATTATTTTTACAGTCACCAATATTACAAAGCCTTACATATACATAAGTTAGGAAACACTTACTTTATACTTGGAATTTATAAAAATAATTATTATCTATTTATACCGATTAACTATTTATATTGAGTCAAGAGTAAAGAAGAGGCACTACATTCAGATAATTGTTTATTAATGGGATATGGTGGGTGATTCAGTCCAATTCAATATTAGTTCCATTTTTTCTAAATTTCTTAGTGTAAGTGCCCAATAGCATGCAGTTTGGCAGTGTCCGATGGCACTAGCCTACTTAGGAAGAATTCTAATAAGTGTTTTTTTAGGAAGGAAATCATCCAATGGCATTTCCCGCCTTGAGTGAGGCGGGAGGGAATGTCAGACTCTTACTGACTAAAAACCACCCCGTTGCTACCCCTGGTTTTTGAGCCGTTAAGTCTTCCGTGGCTCCACGTACTTCTCCTAACTAGAATACGAAGTGACCTCTTCACTTCTGCCAACTCCTTCCGAGATTAAAAGGTGTAATGTTAAGTTAATTTAAAAAATAACTCGACATTACAAACTTTAAATATCTGCATTAGTTTCATACAACTAATCTCATGAAATTAGCGGTTTAGAATATACTTGATCTTAAATTTCTAATTAGATCTAAATAAAAAGTTTCAGTAAAATCGAGCCATGTCAATAAACCTACTTTGCATAAATATATATGCTATAGGTTTGACCTTAATATTTACGTAATCATTCATCAAGTGTTTATTATAAGTTAGAAAACAAAACTTACACTGTCTTCCGCAAAATCATACATTAATAAAAGTCGCCGGAATGTATTTTGCGCCTCAGTATTTAAATCGAATAAATCGCGGTCACTACTCAAACACGCACTGCATAGTGTCCTATAACCAGCTTCAACGTCCTGCTCCATTTTATTTAACTTTAAAAAACTTTCCAATAATAATATCGCAAACTTTTTATTTGTTGTGATTAATTTTCGGTATCAAAACAAAAAGTAATACTCCCATGTAAAATAGACGAAAATTGATGAACAACGTTAAACTGCACTGCGACACCACAAAATGGCTGCCTTACCTAGTGTTACTACACGAAAATAATAATACCGTTTGCGCCAGCGGTTCAACCATGGTTTAACAGCTGATGATTTGAAGTAAAGGCTTATTGTTTTAAGAACCAAGTACTTTTTATTCTGATAATTAGTATAGTAATTAATCCTCATCAACCATATATACAGAAACAAATTTATTTGTTGCTTTCGTCACATCTTTGCAGAGAAAATATTTTGAAGGATTTCATCGAAAAAGTAGAGACATTTTTATTCTTGTTGCAAATTGCGATTATGTACAACTAGACTAAAAGCATTTCTTGTTGTATTATCAGAATATTTCATAGATATATAACATAGATGTGTGACTATTGTCTACGGGTAGAATTTAAGATCCACCTCGACGGTAAATTCATAAACATACTGTTGTTTCTTTTTTACTTATGTTTCTTTGCTTATGCAAAAAGAGACAACACATTATTGTCATTCTGGCAATAATTTTTTGACGTCATCAAAAATACCTATAATTCTGCCGAATTCGCCATCTTGGTCTCTGTTATCAGTGCATGTCAGTGGTACATCAGCTGTCAAAGCATTGGTCAATAATATTTTGTTACGAAAATGTTTAGAATTCCTGTTATTTTTGTGCGTGGTAAACAAAGAAATTATTGGTTAGTGAGAAGAACTATGCTTGGGTGTAGTGTTATTGGATGTAGCACTAAATGTATCACTAAATCGGCAGGTGTAACATTACATCGGTAAGTGCTGTTATTTTTCATTAAAATATCTCTGTTTTTTAAACAATTCAAGTGAGCTTGCTGCAAGTTGACTAAATACAATACTTTTCTAACTAATGCAGTGCTTATTTTCATTAATTTTAGTTGAAATACGTCTAAAAATTTTTTCATTGAAAAATAGTGACGTACGTGTTTGTTCCCGTATCGATAATTTTATCGTTCATATTAATAAATGCTTCAAAAGCAGAACAAAAACTATACTAAATTCTGAATGATAAAGTGCATTAATTTGACATAATGACAAAATTCAAAAAACATTAAATATGTACTCGTCAAAAATTTCATTTTATCGACAATATTCCGCCATAATCAATACCTACGTAATGTTATAGATAATACAAAACATGAATAATTTTTGTACAATATAAGATACGGAAAAATACTTGTGGGAAAAGCATTTCTTTCTAAATTGTATTTAATGAAATATAACTCCTCCGCTATCTATCACTATCATTGCAATGTACAAACATTTTCATTCAGACCTTAGTACAGTACCTATAGAATCTATAGAGATAATCTATGTTCGATTGAATCAAGTAAGTTAAATTATACTATTTATGTTGCAGCCTCTAGCCAGATCTGTGCATGAAAATGAACTTGGAACCAGTTCTGGAGTCATCTCGAAAGATGGTTTTGCATATTACATTACTGGGAAACAGTACGAAAAATACAAAGATATTATAACTATATTATAAATCTTGATTTTATGAATACTTTGAAACAGTCTTATTTTTCTACCCTCAAAAATTACTTAACCTTAAGTATGTAAATGTTGACCAGTTGATGGTAAATCTTTTTCATAAATTACGATACATATGTATCGTGAAAGGTATGATGTGAATGTATGGACACGATCGACCGAAGTAATAGTGCACGCAGTAACTACTAAATATATTTCGCTAATATTTTTAGTAATGTTTAGTAGCTAGATAAAAATCAAATCCAGATGAATCATAAAATACTGATATTTTATCGATAAATCAACTAAAACCAATACCAAAATATCGATACTTCTACAGTTTCAATAGTCACATCCCTAGTTCTATCCGCCATTGCGAATGACCAAGTCAAGTTTAGGTAGGCACGTTTTTTGGTAGGTGCTTCACATCCATAGTCTTATCATATCAGTGGAATATTTATTTGTTCCTTAAAAAAACGCGTATTTTGCAATAAAGCCTAATTAAACGTAACTTAAAAAAAATAGAATTACCTTGTAACACTGAAATGTCAATGTCAAAAGAATTGTGAATTTGTGTTTCTTTTGCAAAATAGTGAAAAAATAGTAAACAATAAGAATTTTTGCAAATATATTAATGAAAATCTAAATCAAAATGTATGAAGTGAAAGTATCTAAGGATGAATTGGGCTGTAGTAGTCGTATTTCGTTTTGCCAGGCTTGTTTAAGTTCAGATAGAAATTTATTTCCAGTTGATCAAAATCATGATAATATTTTCAAAAATATTTTAGAAATGGTAAACAATTAAATATGTTATTGAGTTAAAATAATTAATTTAATGCATGCTTCATTCTTTGCAATGAAAAAAATTTAACATAATAGAAATTGATCATTAGGCCAAAAAAAATTCTTACATTTATTTTGTTCCAAAATGATTTAAATTTCTTCCTGTTTCTGTTTCAATTATATTTTGTAATTAGATTCGATACCACAGTTCTTCCACCTTTTAATGTTAAACTAGACTCCATTAAACTAGAATCACTATATATTAAAAAACATAACAAGGGGTAACGGACTATTTGGTTTAAGCGACATTTTGGGCGATATTGAGTTATTATATTATATATTCGACGGAGAAAAATTCGCTGATTCCGAATATATATATAACTCAATATCGACCAAAATGTCGCTTAAACCAAATAGTCCGTTACCCCTCGATAAATATTTTATTTTCTCTTGCAGACATTACCACAACCGATTCTCCTATGTTGGGAATGCATGGCCATTGTCAAAAACATAAAAAGTTTTAAATCAAAATTAGAAGAGGCACAGAAAACCTTAGCACACCATTACGCTAATAATCAGGTAGGTAATGTAATAATAACGATTTTTTTTACTAAAATACTTAATCATAAAAATTATGACATACAGTATCACACTATTTACTATTTTATAAGTAGATAGATTTTAATTTGAAAATGTATCTTAACTGGTGTGGGTCTGTGACATATATAGCGAAAAACGTCTCAGCACGGTCCAACCATGCGAAAATCTTGGATCGGTTTCCTGGCACTTTCAAATACCAATACGCCGGATACAATTTCCGATTCCGCGGCATAACTGTGAAATTTTCGAAAATCTAGATATACCCAATAGCCTAACTATGGTGTTCCTTAGGTTTTGCTTGGTAGCTGCTTACTTGACCTAGTTATAAATAAACCCCTTTTATAAATGTAAATGTTTTAACCCATAGATCCTCAAGCGGTCACCGGTGACTGCTCTCCACTAATATTACATTACATTATAGACCTTATTTCCAATATTTAGAGACTACTTTTGTATGAACAAATTTAGGGGATGGATTTCAACGGGTTAAACAGGCAATTCAGTGGTTTTGACAAGGTGTCAAAAAGTCACAATCATCATCAATAGCCTATTAATGCCCACTGCTAAACAAAGCCTCTTCTGTTCTCTTCTTGGAGAAAGTTTTACTCATTGCGAGTTGGCAATTTGAAACTTATAATAAGAAATTATAAGCCCAGGTTTCCTCACAATGTTTTCCTTTACCATTTGTCAGTAGCGTCTAGATAATTTTAGAAAGTACATACATATAACTTGGAAAAAGTCATATTGGTACTTGCCATTGGTATGTTTCGAATTTACAATGTTACTTATAATTTATTTAAACTTCTTTACAGAGATCTGTACTAAAATCTCTATCAAAATTAACAAAAGCATACTCAGATCACACAATAAATATAACTTTCAATGAAGATGAAGAAGAATGTAAGCAGAAAATAGAAATTAAAGTAGAAAATCAATCCGATGAAAATTATAATAATTATGAACAAAACAACGACCTTTGCCTCAACCACGAAATTAAAAAAGAAGAGACCATAGATACTAGTAAAACTGTCAAGAAAAACAAAGCACCCCATTACAAGATTGTCTATGAACAATATTCGAAAAAGGATCTGAGAAAGAAGTTTGCTATAAAAACAGAGGAGTTGAGTTTGTGGTTGGAGAATGAGAAAAAAAGCGAATTTTATAAGAAGTTCAAGTTTAAATGTAAGCTTTGTATGAATGGATATAAAATTAAGGAGAAATTGAAAACTCATATCTTAAAACGACATGATGAAGTGAGTATCGTTTTACCTGAGGGCTTAGTACAAGATTGTTTTACGTTTTCCTAGATCAATCTCATTCAACGTAAAAATAGCTCGAAGTAAGCCGTTTGTTCTACATAACGTCACGCCTTGTAATTCTCAAAGGGGTAGGCAGAGAGGCAGAGGTGCATCCATACAATGTTACGTTTCACATTTCGGCACTTAATGCACACCCACTATTTATGAGTCCCATGTAATAAGGGGTGATCCTATTGCCATATACCGATTTTTAAAAACCCAGTAATACTTTGCCCGACCCGGGAATCGAACCCGAGATCCCTTGCCCGGCAGTCGCACTTGCCTCGACCAACGAGGCAGACAAAAAATCGGCCATTATGGTTTATAAATTTTAATGACTTATGTGTTATCCACGAAAAAGTATATCCTGTGCCAGTCTTTTGACTCTTGCAGCTACAATTCTTTATTTTTTCGTCTGTATACAGGGTGGAATTGTGTAATGCCACTTGAAGGAGAAGTACTCTTAACACACAGAGTGCAAACTTTGACAGATTTTAGTCGGTTCGATAACCGGTTGAGGCGAGGTAATTTCTAAAAATCTTTGAATGCAGTTTTGTTTCTTTTCGAAAATAAAGAAAAGTTTTCTTTGAATAAATGTTCTATCTAAAGTATTAAGAGTACTTCCCCTTCAGGTGGCATTACAAAATTCCACCTGTATAATGTTAATTATTATATTCAACAGTCTATAGGTCCGCATAAATGTGAAGTATGCAACATGTATTTTGAGAATGAGACTACACTGAAGAGTCATTCAAGATCGCACATGTTTGCGTGGGAATGTATCAAATGCGGGTTCCAATGTTACTCAGTACGGAGATTGAATTCGCATGTAAACACACATAGGACTGTTCGATGCGTCTATTGTGACGCTGAATTTCAGTAAGTATTTCTACGATTTATTTCTCTTTTATATTCGACTAGCTTTTACCCGCGGCTTCGCTCGCGTCACAAAAGGACAAAAGTAGCCTATGTAACATATACCAATACATACAGCGCCATCTATACCAATACTTTTGTTTTCCCTTGGGAATATCAAAATTTTTGGGATAAAAAGTACCTTATTATTTAATCCAGACTACTAACTTTACGTCTGCAAAAATTCAATGCAATCGGTTTAGTAGTTACGGCGTGAAATCGGAACAAACAAACAAACAAACTCACTTTCTGATTTATATTAGTAAGGATAGTAAGGATAAGGAAGTAAGGATTAGCTTTCGCTTTTTCGTAACCACCTAAACTTGGTCGGGTTACCACGGTCATTCACTTCTTAATGACTTGAAGCGTATTATCTCATTAATTATCCAATGTACTGAGCTGAAATTTTACTGATATACAACTGAACTAAACAACTAATTATTGACATAACATTCAGTTCATTATATCCAATCCAGTGGCCAAATAACACGTGCCGTGCTCGGGAAGAACTCAATATCATCACAACTTATTAAATACTTACAGAATACTAATGAAACTTTACGTACATTTGAAAGCACTTACAAGCCTTAAAATAACGTTTAAAGTAAGTCTTTAGAGCTCTTATTGAGAGTGCTGGGACCAATTGAAGTGTTTTTCTATTTAATGAAATAACCTTTAAGCTATTTCTTATTTTGGTTGTTTTATTACAGAACAAATTTAAATTAATTCCTAAGAAGCTATGTACAAAATATGATAAGAATCCGCTTAACTATTTCAAAGATTTAGCAAAACCAAAAACGTAACCCCAGCAGAATCTGAAATAACTTCGCTACCGATGAAAGAACAAATACAAAATAAGGCACGACATTTTCTCCATCTAGACAACAATTTTTATAGCTAGTAATTATTTAAATATTCCTATTAGAAAGAAAATGGTCTGGCTGGGGTAACGTTACCCCAGCAGGAAATGTTTTTGTGAAATAATTAAAAAACTGGACAACATCAGGCCTGGGTAATGCACACCTTTTTTTTTGCTGCGATTTTCATATTAATGTGAATTCCTATAGGTTTTCGCGATCAATCAATTAAATTCCAATTTTCCAAAATTTGTTTTACCCAATGTTGATAGCGTCATAATTTCCAAGGAGAAGGAGCTTCTCGAAATTGATGTATTGGGTAAAAAACACATGTAACATAAGAGTATAGCCTAAGGACTCACGGCGCGATCTGCGCCCGCCACGGTCGCGAATTGAGGCGGAATTTTCAAAAAGTCACGAGGTCGCAGTTTTCTGTGATTTTACAGCTACCGACATTGTGATTATCGCCCGCAAACTTGGCGGTTGATTATCGTAAGACGGGTGGGCTGTTAAACAATCAATTGAGTTCCAGACCGGCCGTCCCATTGCGATCGCCCGACAACCGATCGTAGAGCGCGCGGTTGCTAGCCGCCCGCGTGCAGCGGGAGCCGCAAACAATCGCACCCACCGCGGGTGTAAAGCGCTCCGTGGAAATTGCTCTGATTATTGACATACATATCTGTATACTATAAAGACTGCGGGCCCGCAACCGCGGCAGCCGCGGGAGAGAATCGCGCCGTGAACTCTTAGCCTTAAGTTGTCCCGAGCGTACGGCGCGTCGCGTTCCGCGCGCGCCTCAAAGAGCCATCAGACCACCACAGATGGGGCCCAATAGGGCCGATGCCGATTCGGAGTCGCGGAGAACCTAACGGGTAACCGGGGCTCCGGCTCGACGTGCAGGAGAAGGAACGGGGTGGTTTTTAGTCAGTAAGAGTCTGACACTCCCTTCCGCCTCACCCAGGCGGGAGCAGTCATTCGATGATTTTCCCCCCTTAAAAAAAAAAAAAGCCTTAAGTTGTACGGTTTACTCTCGTAGCTTATCGAGTCAGGTTTTTTGACTAGTTTCAATTAAGTACAGCCGGAGGCCCATAATAACGTCTAATTTTGTTTGTTGTCTGTTTGCTGACTTATTCGTCCACGTAATGGGCCAGTAGAATACCAGCGCGAGGCCCTGTCTTGCACATGCTGAACTGCTCCCATTTCATTGTAGACTTGGGACGTTAGTATTGGGATTGGGACATATGTATTTATAAACTTATGTGTAAAATCTGTATGTGACACCTGTTTTTAGCGTGCGGAATAAAGTTTTTCTTTATTTAATTCAAAGTAAAATCAATGGGCCCCCATTGTCACCATACAGGGCAATGTAGCAAGAGGTTTTTCGTCCAATCACAGCAGCTGTCAAATGCTGAACGTCTAACGGTGTGACGCTAGCTAAATCCTTATTGGACGAAGAACGAGAGGTGTACACTAGCGGCATCTGTTGCGCAAAAATGCAGTAGCCTTTATTATTTCAAATAAAACCAATTTTGAAATTCGAACATAATATTTATCTGTCAGTCAGTCCTCTAGTTTTTCTATTTTGCTCATTTCAAGGTTTAGATTCCTATAGAGAACAAGCAAGAAACTCCATTGTCTTACTTTTCTTACCATAACATAATTCACGCCTTTTATCCCCGAAAGGGTAGACAGAGGTGCACATTATGGCGCTTAATGCTACTGAACAATGTAACACCGACTTTTCGCTATTTATATTATGACTCCCATGTAATAGGGGGACACTTTTTTAATGGAAGAGTTTAATGGAAGTTGATTTGTTTTTTCAGCGATATATCATCGTTCTACGTGCACTACAAATCTCTACACAGCGTGTTCCTATGCGATCACTGTGGGAAGCGGTGTAAAACTAAATATATGCTTGAGAAACATATGAGGTAAGTGTTACAGAACTTTCATAACATAACATTTAAAAAAGAAAACGTTGCCCCACACTAGGATTTTCTCCTGTGTGTCGTGTCGTCACGAAAGAAAATTTTAGTGTGAGACAACACGATCTCCGGCCACCGTAAACGCGGGACTGCGGACGGCGAGCATGGGTGGCTCCCCGTCCGACCAGAACCAGACCCGAGCGTTCGGCGCCGAGCGGTCCGCGCGCGCCTCAAAGAGCCATCAGACCACCACGGATGGGGCTCAACAGGGCCGATGTCAATTCGGAGTCGCGGAGAACCTAACGGGTTACCGGGGCTCCGGCTCGACGTGCAGGAGAAGGAACGGGGTGGTTTTTAGTCCGTAAGAGTCTGACACTCCCTCCCGCCTCACCCAGGCGGGAGCAGTAATTTGATGATTTTCCACCGTTAAAGAAAAATAAAAAAAGTGTGAGACAACGTTTACAAAACATAGATGGCGCTTCTCTAGTTTTAGGACGCCCTATCATTATATATCATCCCACAGATTTCTTAAACAAATGAGCTTCCTTCTTTGAAGACTTATTGTCGTTGAGACAGTCTCATTATGTTTTTTTTCCCCACAGTCGTCACGCAGACACGCACATATGTTCGACTTGTAGCCGGAAATACAAAACAAGAGCCGCGTTACGCAAACATTACGCCTTGAAGCACGCTCCGTGCTCAGCAGAGCAGGCGTACTGTGTTCTATGTGACAAACAGTACGCGAGCGAGTACGTGTACAGGCGACACGTACATACTAGCGTCGCGCACACACGGGAAAGGGATATGCAGTGAGTACCTTCATTATTTAGTCTCATTAACATCAACAGCCTATAAGTGGCTACTGCTGACCAGAGGCCACGGAGGAGGTTTGAGCATTAATCACCAAGCTTGTTCAATGCGGGTTGGCGATTAAAAATTTATAATTAGAAAATAGCTGGTCTAGTGGTCACAAGTGCGACTGCCGGGTAAGGGGTCTCGGGTTCAATTTCCGGGACGGCAGTGTTGCTGGACTTTTAAAAAAGATCTCAATTGTGTCACGGTGTTTGGAATTGTCCCCGGTATATGGCAAAAGGGTGCGCTCACTCACCCCCTATTACATAGGACTCGTAATATAAATAGCTAAATGTCAACACCCCTTTTATGCCCGAAGGGGTAGGCAGAGGTGCACATTATGGCACTTAATGCCACTGTACAATGTAACATCCATTTTTCACTATTTATTTCATAAGTCCCATGTAATAGGGGGTGAGCCTATTGCACTATACCGGGCACAATTCCAGACTCCGCGATAATACTGAGAATATAAAAATAAATTCAGTAATACTTTGCTCGACCCGGCAATCGAACCCGAGACCCCTTGCCCGGCAATCGCACTTGCGTTATATACAGGTTAAACGCAATGAGGGTCACGGTCACCGGTGACACACATGAGGAGTTGACCTTATCAATCTTATATTCGCAGTCAAAGGCTTAACGTTATGTTTTGCAGAGTAAAAAAGAAGTATCCATGTCCGGACTGCAGTAACACGTACTCGAGGCGCGCGTACATGATGAATCACCACCGACATGTCCATATGAACCAGTCTAAACACTACTGCAGCACATGTGAAAGGGTGAGTACCATTTATTAACACGCTTTTATAGCTAGTAATTATTTACATACATAATATCACGCCTTTTTATCCCCGAAGGGATAGGCAGAATTGCACATTTTGGCACTTAATGCCACTGTACAATGTAACACCCACTTTTCACTATTTATGTTATGAGTCCCATGTAATAGGGGGTGAGCCCGTTGCCATATACCGGGCACATTTCCAGACTCCGTGCTACTACTGAGATTTTTTTTTAAACTCAGTAAAACTTTGCCCGACCCGGGAATCGAACCCGAGACCCCTTGCCCGACAGTCGTACTAGCGACTACTCGGCCAACGAGACAGTCATTTAAATATTCCCATTAGAAAGAAAAAGGTCTGGCTGGGGTAACGTTACCCCAGCAGGAAATGTTTTTATGAAATAATTAAAAAACTATAAGCACGAAAAATTTAAAAATGTGCGCAACAATTACAGAAGCCGCACAACTAAATATCTATAAGATTGAAATGACCATTTTCGACAACGTCTGGCCTGGTAACGGACACTATGTCGACCTGTATTTTTTTCTAGTAAAAATCAAAGTCAAAATCATTTATTTCAATAAGAACAGAAAGGCACTTTTGAACGTCAACATAACATTAAAAGTGAAGCTATTTGCTAAAAAAATATCTCTATTTCTCCTAACAATGTGTGTATTATGGGTACTATTGTAGTAAAATAATAGTACTATTATTAATTTGATTTCAGCACTTTCTAAACAGAACACGATACATAGACCACATGAGGTATAACCATGAAGGGGTCAAGAAAGAAAAGAACAAACTGTGCAATATTTGTGGCAGGGGTTTTGCGGTAACTATATATTCAATCCCGTTTTTCCCGTTCCCGTTCAAGATTTTCAGTAAAAAAATATTGCACAAAAAGTCCTATGTCCGTCGTCTGGTTCTAAGCTACCTCCATGGGCGTAGCCACACTGGGGCAAGCTGGGGCACTTGTCCCACCCTGGGCCCTGGCTCTGACCCATAAGGTGTCTGAATAAACAATGTTTTTTTTACTAACTCTAACTATCAACATCAACAATCATACTATCCGTTATTGCACAAAAAAAAATTGACAACTTTGAAAAGAGCGCGATCAAAACAAAATGCACGCTCGAGTTCCCGAACGTGCGCGGTGCGCGCGTCATTGGAAAGCGAGCCGTATTCCCTAAAAGAATAGGTACTGTGGCGTTTTTTTTTTAAAAAAAGCGGGAAAGTCATCGAATGACTGCTCCCGCCTGGGTGAGGCGGAAGGAAGTGTCAGACTCTTTAGACTCTTACTGACTAAAAACAAACCCGTTCCTTCTCCTGCACGTCGAGCCGAGGTTACTCGTTAGGTTCTCCGCGACTCCGGATCGGCATCGGCCTTGTTGAGCCCCATCTGTGGTGGTCTGATGGCTCTTTGAGGCGCGCGCGGAACGCGACGCGCTTTATGCTCGGGTCTATTTCTGGTCGGACGGGGAGCCCATGCTCGCCGCCCGCAGGCCCGCGCTTACGGTGGCCGGAGATCGTCCCGCGATCCCCGGTGTGTCCTTCGCGATGGTTGGTTTGCGAGGAGGCAGCGCTTCGCTGCCTCACGCGTCCCGCCTTGTGGCGTAGTGAGCCGAGCCGTCCATCACCGTGCGGTCACTCATCCCCGCCCGCGCCCCGCGAAGCGCAGACTAAAATCTTCTATAGCTCGTGGCGCGATTTGTATTGTTTGCTTGTTTTGTCCTCAATTCGACTGTAATTTTTTTTTTGTTTGTTAATCGATTTCTCGAAGACGCCTGGACCGATTTCAAAAATTCTTTTTTTGTTTGAAAGGGTAGGTTTGTATTTCGTCCCATTGTTATGAAGTCAGGATCTGATGATTGAATCCCAGGGAAACCGAGGGGAACTTTTTAAAATTATAGGGGCGACTAGTGGATTTGTTAATTTTTTCGTTGAGTATTTAAAACCACTACAATCTGATAAAGGTCTGGAGCTCATATGATGATGGAGCGGATAGGCAGTCGAGGGAACTCCTCAACGGTTAACTGTAGCTACATTGTGTTTGGGTTTGATTAATTTGTATGGTATGTGATTGCCAATAAGGGTCTGATGATGAAGTAGTATCATAGTTGAGGGAACTCCTCAGCGGTTACCAGTGGCTATCTTGTGTTAATTTTTGTAAATCAAGTGATTCTTTCCAAAGCGAGGCTGAGATGGGGTATAATTTGAGGGAATAAAAAAATACGGACATTAATGCATTGAAGGAGATGGAACTGGTAGATGTGATCAAAATTTCGGAAATGCAATTTTATCCTAGTGTAAAAACAGCGCTCGCTATTTTGCTTGCCCAGACCTGTACGACCTGTACAATAGAACGATCGTTTAGCACATTACGGCGGGTCAAAACGTGGCTTCAACTATGAGCGAAAATTGTATAAGCGGCCTGTGTATGCTAAGTGTGCACAGAACAAGGGTCTCAGAATCGAAAAATAAATTTTTAGAAGAAGTGCTTACCAGGTTCTGCCAGAACACACGCCGTCTTCTCTTGAAGTACCTAATATTACTCATAAATATACTTAGTTAAAACTTTAATTTATAAACACCGAGTATTCATAAATAAAACTATAAAATCTGTCCTGTGTGCGATTGTTTATTTTCTGTACCTGAAAATATAAACCTCTCAAATTAAGAGATTAACAAGTTTGAGATTAACGGCTCAAGGTACAAAAAATCGGAGGGCCACCGCCCTCCCCCGGGGATAGGTTGACTGCTGCCCCACCCTGAGCCCAAAGCTGGCTACGCCCATGGCTACCTCCCCACCAAATTACTTCCAAATTGATTTAGCCGTTCTTGAGTTATAAATAGTGTAACTAACACGAACTACATAGCGGGTTACTCAAGTGAACATACTGAAAAAATCTCTTGTTTTGAACAGAGGGGTTCTTATTCAGTAGGCTGCGCGACATCGCCGCGACGACGCACGCTGCTCATGAGGAAGAACCCCTCTGTGGTTCGAAACTGGTAGATCTTTTCTCAGTATTTCTACGTGAGTAACGCGCGATTTTTAATTACTATGAATTTCTTTTGTATACCTATATGAATTTTCTAATTTTCAGGCCAATCGAACTCTGATGAATCATATGCGTACCCATTCCGGGGAGAGGCCGTACGAATGTCAATATTGTTCGTCCAAGTTCACACAACGGACTTCAATGCTGTCCCATATTAAATATATACATTTGAAGACTAAACGGGGTCAGGAGTGGCACCAATAATACAATAGCAGATAGTGTATGAAAATTAAAAATGTAATAAGTCCGTCAGTTACATAGATAATAAAAATTATTAAACACATATTTTTTTTATTTTAGTCATATAAGAAAACAATACTTGGATAAAACAGAGTTAAGATTAGGAGAGGGAGGTCGTTACGTCACGCTATCCTATAAAATGTGCCGTGGAGGGCTTAACGGGTTGCCGGGCCTCCGGCTCGAAGTGCAGAAGTAGGAACAGGGTGGTTTTTAGTCAGTAAGAGTCTGACAAGCCGCCTCACCAGACAGGATAAGTCACTCGATGATATCCCCGCTTCAAAAAACCTATAAAATATAGTAAATTGTGACATCACAAGACATTTCAAATTAATATATCGTCGAAAGTATTATATTTTGTGAGAAAAGAAGAAAATACGTGTCTGTTTTAAAATAATCCTTGCCCTTCACGTGGCTGTGTGATACCCAATTGATGGACTACACGTTTGATTAAATCATTAATATTCTCTAATAAACCTGAAGTCCTGAACCGAATACGGCCATGTGCCATGTACAAAATATGATAAGAATTAGCTTAACCATTTCAAAGATCTAGTAAAACCAAAAACGTTACCCCAGCAAAATCTCGAATAACTTCGCAATCGATGAAAGAACAAATACAAAATAAGGTACAACATTTACTTCATATAGACAACTAATTTTATAGCTAGTAATTATTCAAATATTCCCATTAGAAAGAAAATGATCTGGGGTAACGTTACCCCAGCAGGAAATGTTTTTGTGAAAAAACTATAAGCGCAACAAATTTAAAAACAATTACAGAAGCCGCACAACTATTACTATTATTATCTATAACATTGAAATGACCGTTTTCGACAGCATCTGGCCTGGGTAACGCACACTACATTAAGCCACTGTACAATGTAACACCCACTTTTCACTATTTATGGTATGAGTCTTTGTTTCATTGTAATAGGGGGTGAGCCTATTGCCATATACCGGGCACAATTCCTGACTCTGTGCTACTACTCTGAATTTTTTGAAAAACCCAGTAATACTTTGCTAGACCCGTGAATCGAACCAGAGACCTCTTGCCCGGTAGTCGCACTTGCGACCACTCGGCCAATGAGGCACTCCAATATTATTTATACGTATAGATGAATAGGTAATAATTAAATTGTTAAAAAAAACCAATTGTTTTATTGTATATTGAATTATTTTTTTTATTAACATAACATCACACCTTTTATAGTCAGAGGTGCACATTACGGTACTTAATGCCACTTTTACAATAAAACACCCACTTTTCACTATTTATGTTATGAGTCCTATGTAATAAGATGTGAGCGTATTGCTATATACCGGTCACAATTCCAAACTCCGTGCTACTACTGAGACTTTTTTCAAAAACCCAGTAGTACTTTGCGTTGCCCGGTAGTCGCACTTGCGACCACTCGGCCAAAGAGGCAGTGGGTGATTTTAACCTTTTGAACGCCAGAGCAAAAACGCATGAACTTGCCCTCAACGCCAGGCCACAAATTCACCGCAAATACATACGAATAAAATAGGGATTCCAAAACTTCATCGATAATCAATTTTATTTTCATTTTCGTCTTTAATTTCGAAATATAATGTCCTTATAACATTGAAATTTAATTCAACATTACATTTCTTCCTATTAAAGTAATAGTTATACACTATTTACAGACTTGTATAATACCGTAATAACATATATGAGACTACAATATATTTAAATATAATAACTGTAGGTACAACACTATTCTTGATCTGCTGTCTTCATATTGTGACCATGGCGTGGACGGCCCGCCATTTTAATAACTACTTCGCTTCCGAAATAAGGATGTGGCAACGTAATATCTCGTTTATCGATGTTCTAGTACAATATTATTTTATAATAAATGAAACACGTTTTTTAAATCAGATTTATAATTCCGAATGTAACAGGTACTTAAAAATATATGACTGAAATAGGTTAAGAAGGTAAATAAAAACTATGAAAAAATAGAAAATTTTAATAAAATGTTATACAGTATGTACTATGTATACATGTTATTAAATATTAAGTTCTATAAACCTGGCATAAAAAGTAACAAATTAAAACAATTAACAGAAAGACGAATTAAAATGTGAAATTTCACATTTACCTAATGTGGGTTTCGAAGAAGAGCCAAAGGACCCACGCAATAAGGCATTCGCAAGATTGGTCGCACATGAATTAGATAGTGTACCAGCGGAGAAGCGTTCGGTAACTTACACCAATATAATTAATATTATACGTAAAGTACGACACCAAAAAGACTTAGATGACACTAGTTTACCGAGCTACCAGGATTCCGATTAAGAAATAATAAATGATTGAAAAGGTTATAAGTTTGATTATTGTCTAATTAATAAATATCCCAAAATAAATCATAAAATTCTTCGTCATCTGAGACTCCTTCTAATATGCGAAGAAGTTCTTCCGTAGTCATTAAATTCCCACTCATTATAATAGTCACTTAATATAAATCTTGAACTCGATATCACAAGTAAATTAATCATAAATATTATTCATTCACTTCACTAATTTCTGGTCGCCGCGCTTGTGACGTCACGATATTGTCGTCTAGTCGTGACCATGGCGTACAGGGTACTGATAATTCGGGTTGCGTTAGGGATGCGCTTGAGTTGGGATTAGTCAATATCGAAATTCGACCCAACCAAATTTTATTTTTGACTATGTAGCTTATTGAATGATTTTTAAGACTGGTTTTATAAAATTAATGCTGCTGTATCCTAGTACCAAATTATACCTAAAATAATATATTCCAGAGGAAAGTTTCGAATCGATCTTTGATTTGAAATAATGATATTATCCAACATGCGCTACATCACTAGCGGTCACGCAGTTATGACTCTGGCGTGTGAGGACATTCTTTTTTCAGAGTTTATTTCTTTCTTTTTAACGTAAAATTTCTCAATATTTATAATGCAATTTAATTAGTTTTATGGAAATAAATAAATTTTGGACCTTCTATTTTACAGGTATATAAATAAATAGGCATTAAAGTAATGTTTAAATAGTTTATTTCGTGTTTTAATGTACCGCTGTTTTTGTCACATATTTGTGTCGTTGGCGCTCAGGGACAGTTTTCGCTTGTCACGTATTTGTGACCCTGGCGCTCAAAAGGTTAAAACCCTTAAAAAAGGTATCCTAGGTCTGTCGATGAAGTAACCGATTATGCGTGTATAATGCAGCTCGTTGTTTGAATGTATGTCCACAATCTTCGCACATATACGACCTGTGCTCCGAGTGAGTCAGCCGATGGGAACGGAGAGTGGCCAGCGTCTGTAAATATAATACATTGTTCTTTGTATAATAACTATCGTCAGACATACTAAATTAACTAAAAACCGCGGGTTAGTCACGAGAAAAGCTCTACTAGTTTCGAACTACAAAGGGGTTCTTCCTCATGAGCAGCGTGCGCGGTCGCGGCAATGTTGCGCGGCCTACTACTACCCTTCTGTGGTTCGAAACTAGTAGAGCTTTTCTCAGTATATTCACGTGAGTAACCCGCGATTTTTAGTTAATATAATATGTTGTTGTTAGAAATATATATACAAATAAGTCTACATGTCAAGTGATTTAGAATGCAGGCAAGAAAAATAAAGATTGATTCGGTACAGAGACAGTAACTTTAAAAAAAAAATATTACAACGAATAAGTTTCTTTTTTGGTGACATAAGCCGGTAAATGAGCAGACGGATCACTTAATGGTAAGCAATCAGCGCCACCCATGGACACCCGGAACACCAGGGCCTTTAGCCAAACGCCACTTTAGCGCTTGTCTACAGAGAGAGTAGAAATCAAAATGTATGTGACAAGTGTCAAAATGTACGTCAATTCCATATAATTTGGTTTTCTATTCTACATGTAGACAAGCGCTAAATGGCTTAATGGCGCTAATGGCCTACAGCTGCTGAGGCGTTACAAGAACGTTACCGGGATATGAATTTGATGATTGTTAAGGATTCGGGATTGGGTAGGACGGAGAGGGAGTAATTGGGCAAATAGCGAACATATTTATGTTATTCAGGTAATGAAATAAAGATTGATTCAGTACAGAGACAGTAGCTATTGTTGTACTAAATTGTATGCTTTGTAACGAAGTCATATCTTTTGTAACCATTCGTGGACTCGGTAGACAACCAATGGCTACCGTCTCTGTACTGAAGCAATCTTTGTTTTGTTACTTGCGTACTAAATGACTTGGTTAACTATAAAAAGGAGGACAGGATAAATAATCATTGAAATATTACTTACATAAAACTTCTTAGTACACAAATCGCAAGCGTGGTCCCTGGTTCGAGATAGTCCATGATGAATTTGTTTGTGATTTTTCAATCTCCAATCTGATATGAACACCTGAAAGAGATAACTACTATTAGACGACGAAAATCAACTAAATGAACGTCACTAGTTTAATCTGTATTATCGACAGCACACTAGCTGTCATGTAGACTATGTCATCAGTCAAATGTGACAGATTAGTAAAGTTTCCCGCGCAAAGAGTTGTAAGGCGCGATTCTGGTGGGAATTTAGACGACCACCACACTGTGTTCTTATAAGAATCCGAAATCTGAATAAACTTTTCAGTATTCAAGTATTGAGTTTAACTTAAAACTACATAGTTAATTTGTACATATAAAGAAATAAGATTTCTGTACATATTTTTAAGCACGTCTCTGTCGGTAAAGTAAAAATTTATTTAGTAGGATAATAGATGGAGCTGTCGACTCCTTTGTTTCTTTCCTTTCGGTAAAGACTGTTAAAAATAAAGATTTCGAATGGACTGTTAGACGTTTATGTTACGAGAGATTGAAATACAGCAAATTTGGTACTTGGGTTTTGTGGGGCTTAAATTATAATATACTTACCTGTGTGATTTAAAAAAAAATTATAATAATTTCGGCTGGTGCCATAGTCATCCATAGTTTCCAATTTACCAGTCCACAGCACCCCATCCATAGCCCTACCTAATTTTTTCCATTATCCACAATAGTTCTACACTAACCGGGGACTGTCCTTGGGTGCATTTCCATAGTGCATACAGGGATAGTCGCCGGTTTGTGTGTCCATTACATTTAAATTAAAGTTGTCTAAAGGGCCTCTGCGCAGTTGGTTTCGGCCCCTTATACGCCTCCAAATGACCGGGACTCTGTGGTCCCGTGAATGGTAAAGACATACATAATAATAATAATAGTGATTCAAGACAAAGGTTTACAGTACGTGTAACTATCTTAAAATCCAACCCCATAATACCGATTTTTATTCCTACTCCTTTTCCGTTCATGCAGTGAGACTGTGGAATGCGCTCCCGCCTAACATTCGGGACGCTGAGTCTATCGCTATCTTTAAAAAACGAGTGAGAGAACACTACCTTTCCTCCTGATATGTAAATTTCTTCATTTATATGTGTAGTTTATATTTTGTATGTATTTATTTATGTATTGTATGTAGTTGTTTGGTTATTTATCTGTTAGTTTTAAGTCTGTTTCCTATCCCAATTTTCTATTTGTTACTACACACTGTGTCATTATATTATTATTAGTTTCTTGCTCGTTCTTCTCCATTCGAATCTACTTTTTGGAATGAGCACTTAGCTTCACCTAGTTTCACTGACGGACTGACTGACAGACTATTATTTATTTTGTATTTGTTGACGTTTCAAAAGCACCAAACTATGGTTTAATTGAAATAAATGCTTTGACTTTGACTTTGATTACTTTTCCTGCTCCAGGTCCACAGGAAGAAATTCCAATAGGAATATGTGGTACCTTTGTACTTTAATTTTATGTATGTGTTGTCCTTTATATTGTATGTGTGTACATAAATAAATAAATAAATAAATAAATAAATAAATAAATATCTTCTGCCAACGGCCTCGCTTGCGTTTCCACGGGACAAAAAGAAGCCTATGTTATTCTAGACTGTAATCTATCCCTGTTCCAAATTTCATCCCGATGACTTCAGCAGTTTTGACGTGACACACACACACGCAAACGTCCTCACAATTATTCTCATTTATCCTACATAACAACATAACGTCACGCCTTTTATCCCCGAAGGGGTAGGCAGAGGTGCACATTATACCACTGTACAATGTAACACCCACTTTTCACTATTTATGTTATGAGTCCCATGTAATAGGGGGTGAGCCTATTTCCATATACCGGGCACAAATCCAGACTCCGTGCTACTACTGAGAATTTTTTAAAAACCCAGTAATACTTTGCCCGACCCGGGAATCGAACCCGAGACCCCTTGCCCGGCAGTCGCACTTGCGACCACTCGGCCAACGAGGCAGTCTCATTTATCCTAACTAGTCCTAATCCTAACTATCCTAATCCTAACTAATATTATAAATCTGAAAATGAGTTTGTTTGTTCCACCTTCACGCCGTAACTACTCAACCGATTGCTTTGAATTTTTGCAGACGTTAAGTTAGAAGTCCGGATTAAATAATAGGGTACTTTTTAACCCGGGAAAAATTGATATTCCCAAGGAAAAACAAAAGTATTGGTATAGATGGCGCTGTGTGTATTGGTATATGACACATAGGCTACTTTTTATTCTTTTGTGCCGTGGGTAAAAGCTAGTAATATTATATATAGGAAGTTAGTAGAATTAGTAAGATTAAGGCGTACAAAGCCGAGGGGAAAATTCACTGATATTGCTGTTTATGTCTTACCTTATCACAACTATCACATTTATATTGCGATTTCCGTAAATGATAAAAATTATAATGATTCGTCCAGTACACTTTTGACGCGAATTTTTTACTGCATTCCGGACAAGAATAGCTGAAAATTAGAAAACAAATGTTCAATAAAAAAATAAAAAACGACGGATTGCACTCCGGGAGTGCCGGCAAAAGTGAAAACTTAAGTATTAACGTTTTTGAATGGTTATGGAATAATTTTACACAAACATGACATTTCACAGATCAAATTTAAACTAATTCCTAAGAAGCCATGTACAAAATATGATAAGAATCCGCTCAACCTTTTCAAAGATCCAGCTAAACCAAAAACGTTACCCCAGCAAAATCGACAATAACTTAGCAACCGATCAAAGAACAAATACAAATTAAGGCACAACATTTACTTCATCTAGACAACTAATTTTATAGTTAGTAATTACTTAAATATTCCCATTAGAAAGAAAAAGCTCTGGCTGGGGTAACGTTACCCCAGCAGCAAATGTTTTTGTGAAATAATTAAAAAACTATAAGCGCAACAAAATTAAAAATGTGCGCAACAATTACAGAAGCTGCAAAACTAATTATCTGTAAGATTCAAATGACCATTTTCGACAAAATCAGGCCAGGGTAACGCACACTCCTAAAACTACAGAAGCGCCATCTATGGTTTTGGAAACATTGCCCCACACTAGGATATTCTCCTGTGTCATGAGAGCGTCTAAAACATACAAATTCACATTTACGATGTGATGTGTTTAAACGATATAAATATGTTAACAACACATCAAGACAAGACATCATTATATATATCTTCTGATTCACTTCGTTGCGGGAACCAACACAGTTACTCATGTCGCTTGGACGCGCCGGACTTCAGTGTTCCGGTGTTTTCATGGTTGTATCTACTGTAGATCCTGGTGCACAGGAGTTGCAGTGGTTTAGGGAGCGTGTGGCGGGCTTGTCCCAAAAAAATACAGCATATATTATGTTATTAAAGATGATTCAGTATATACTCACACTTTCTCCGTATGGTTAGCACTGGATTTCAAATGGTTTCGATAAACATATATGTTCTTGTACTGCACATTACATATATTACAATAAGCCAGCTTCTTCGCTATGTTAGCGTTATGTTTCACTATATGCGATTCAAGACGAGTCTTCGTTTTAAAAGTCTTCGAACATATATCGCATATGAAGTCTCGAAGTACTGAATGTATACGTCTGTAAAGAAAACAGTTATAATAGGGATGATGACAGTGTATGAAAATTAAAAATGTAATTAGTCCGCAAGTTAGATAATGATAAAATATTAGACACGTATTTTTTTAAGGGGGTATAATCATCGGATGCCTGCTCCCGCCTCACCCCTCTCAAGATAAACTTTAACCTTTTAAACTATCTTCAATCGTTCCGCCAAGTTTGTAGATTACGGGAAACCTCTAGACACAAGAGAGTAGATGGTTGGCAGGCCACAACTGTGCGCTTCTCTCGTATCTTTCTGCCTCGCACAGCAAAACTGTGGTATGATCTGTCGTCGGCGGTATTTCCGAACCGATACGACCTTCAAACCTTCAAGAAAAGAGTGTACTCCTTTTTAAAAGGCCGGCAACGCACCTGTAACTCCTCTAGTGTTGTGGTTGTTCGTGGACGGCGCTGATCGCTTACCATCAGGTGATCCGTCTGCTCGTTTGCCTCCTATTCCATAAAACTGGGACCCGCGGGACGGAAATGAAATAGATTTAAAGGTTTACTTACGCTATATGTCTCCTCAAAGTGTTGCTCGCTTTGAATTTGACTCCACATTCATTACAATGAAGAGAATGTTCCTTTTGTACGTGATTTTCTAATTCTTCCGGAGTTCTGAAATAGAGATATTTTACTTCACATTGTTGAGCAGATGGAAATTCGCATCGACGGCGGTGCGATGGCTGGGCAACCGACTGCTCCGCAACGTGTCGCAGGTTTGATTCCCGCACGGAACAAGGCATTGTGTGATCCACAAACTGTTGTTTCGGGTTTGGGTGTCATGTGTATGTGAACTTTGTATGTTAATAAATGCACCCACGACACAGGAGTAAATCCTAGTATGGGGCAACGTTTAAAAAATACAGGGAAGCCTATCACGCTATGCATAGGAGAGCCATGCTTCGGCACTGCTGTATCGGCTCGACCGGAATGATACCACGGCCGAGCATACAACAGTGGCGTGAAACAACAGAATGGTGGAGACCAGCTGTGCGAGTGAGGGTAGAAGCTCATTCGTACAGAGCCATTTCCAGAGCGCAAAAGATTATCTGATAGGTTCAGTCAAAAAAGTATCCGGAATGGATCATTTGTTTATGGTTCCAAATTCAAATTTTAGTTTTTTTGTAGTCGTTAGATTGGCACAACTGTTTTCCATTTTGGCGCGGAGTTTGAGTTGTATCTGTTATTTATATTAAATACAGTGCTGGTTTTAGTAATATCGTATATAGTGTGTATTGCAAAATTCATAATGGCCAAAAATATCGAACAAAGAGTTTGTCTTAAATTTTGTATCGCCATGATGACAGTGTAGGACAATTAAAAATCTAATTAGTCCGTCAGTTAGGTAATGAAAAAATATTAGACACGTATTTTTTATTTTGATGTATAAGAAAACAATATTTAAATAAAACGAACCAAAGTTTAGGAGTGGGAGCTAAAACGTCATTTCAACGTACAAAATGTACATAGAAGTGACGTCACGCGACATTTCAAATCAATATATCGACGAAAGTATTTGTTTCTGTAAGAAAATAAAAAATACGTGTGTAATGTTTTAAAATAATCTACCAGACGGACATTAAAATAAAAATTAGTCAACTACCCTATTACCCTTCGTGCATAAAATTAGTATGTGTACTTTTGACTTTAGCATTGAGTTTCTTTTTTTTTAAAGAGGGGACAATCATCAAATGACTGCTCCCACTTGGGTGAGGCGGGAGGGAGTGTCAGACTCTTACTGACTAAAAACCACCCCGTTCCTTCTCCTGCACGTCGAGCCGGAGCCCCGGTTACCCGTTAGGTCCTCCGCGACAGCCTTGAGTACCTTAGTCTAGAATAACTTAATAATGTTTAAACACTTGAGAACAAATTATAATTTTTAAAAAGAAACTTACTACACTCTTGTTAAACAAAAGCTTGTTAAATAATCAGACACAGAGTAATCTCTGTGTCTGATTATTATTTAGCTGATAAATTGTAGCTGTGTCAGAATATGTCTGATGATGAACCTGTATTAATGTTGGCATGGCATCGAGCATTTCTTTATTGAAACAAAGAGTTTCCTTTTCTTGTATAGAAGCACTAATAATATGGATTGTCAGTATGCATATGTGAGCACCATGTTGGACTTTAAGATTTTAATTTTTTTTTAATTTATTAAGTTATTAGTATAATGCGTCAAGCGTGTCTTTGCATTGTTCTTACATATGCGTACAGTATGGAAATATGTATCAGAGACATTGTAGAACATACTTTTTTAAAAAGAGTAACGAATGGAGTTTCTTGCTCGTTCTTCTCCATTCGAATCTACTTTTTGGAATGAGCACCTAGCTTCACCTAGTTTCACTGACGGACTGACTGACAGACTATTATTTATTTTGTATTTGTTGACGTTTCAAAAGTACCAAACTATGGTTTAATTGAAATAAATGCTTTGACTTTGACTTTGTTTGCATGCCAAAAAGGGTAGAATGTACAAGGACAACTTATCAGTGTTTTAATATCACCTTATTGTAAATACCTGCATTCTGAGCAAATAAATAATTATTCTAGTCTATTCTAAAAAAAAACACTTACTTAACAACAACGTTGCACTGTGAACAATGTATTCTATCCGGTTCATCGGTCAAATGCTTTGTCTTACAATGGTTCAGCGCTGACCAGAGCTCATGCGCCTCATATCGACAACAGCGACATCTATAGCAGACGTAGTGCTTACGTCTGTGTTTTTCCGTAGCTAATTTTGTTGGAAATCGGACGCTGCATACTTCGCATTGGTAGGGTCCTATACTCTGTAAAAAAAGACACATATTATATAACATAACATCATGCCTTTTATCCCCGAAGGGGTATGCAGAGGTGCACATTATGCCACTGTACAATACAATGTAACACCCACTTTTCACTATTTATGTTATGAGTCCCATGTAATAAGGTGTGAGCTTATTGCTACATACCGGGCACAATTCCAGACTCCGTGACTGACAGACTGAGATTTAAAAACCCAGTAATACTTTGCCCGACCCGGGAATCGAACCCGAGACGCCTTGCTCGACAGTCGCACTTGCGACCACTCGGCCAACGAGACAGTCGTAATAATACATATACATTATATATATAGGTATACCTATATATTATGCTGTATTTATATTGTAGTGTACATTTTAAATATTTTTTAGTATCTATATTTATAAAGTCTATTTACGTTATTTGTTCCTTAGTTACACATGCCTATGTTTTCGCCGATTTTCTATTTAACCCTAAGGTTGACTAGGAGAGAATGCCATATGGCATTAATGTCTGCCTTATGTACCATTACTTGTTTCTGTGTACATTAAAGTTTAAATAAATAAAAATATTACGTCACGTCTTTTAAACCACAAACTGTAGGCAGCAGACCACCACAGATGGGGCATAATAGGGCTGATCTCAACGGGTTGCCGGGGCTCCGGCTCGAAGTGCAATAAGTACTATTATTGCACTACCACATTCCTATAAAGGGAGTGGTTTTAAAGTAAGAGTCTGACACTCCCTCGCCTCACTGGGGCGGGAGAAGTCATTGGATGTTTTTTCCCCTCATACTCAGACAAAGCCGCAGGCTTAAGCTACTTAATATTTTTTTTAAACATAGCACCTCATTACGATTTTCTCCTGTATCGTGGGTACGTTTACAAACATACAAGTTCACATACACGTGACACTCAGACCTGGAACAACAATCTGTGGATCACACAGAGTTGTTTCGCGCGAAAATCGAACCCGCGACACGCGCGGCAGCCAGTTGCCAGGTGTCAGTCAAGTCAATTAATAATGTGAAAACTGTACCTCTGCATGTTTCTTTTGCATATGCAAATTATAATTTTCTTCTCTTGTGAAACCTAGAACACAAGCCTCACATTTAAATGGTATCTTCTTAAAATTATGATGATTCCTCTTCAACTCCCTCAATCTCATCATCTCCTCTTCGCTCATTACGACTTCTATAAACTTCTTTTTAAACTCTCTTTCATCATCTTCTAAATCAATCAACTTTCTAAATTGATTTTTGTATTTTTTGTCAGCTTTTCTTAAAAAAATTTTATCTGGTTTCATTTCTATTGTGTCTGTATATATTTTTTCTGTTGGTATACCTTCTTTATAATCTATGACTATGTCATTGTTTATGGTTGGTTCAAAATTAGTGTTCTTTATTTCAAATTCATCATTATTTTTAATTTTGCTTTGAAGATTTTCGTCTGAAGCTAATGTTTCGGTATTAAGTTCGGATTGGTCATTTAATTCTTCTTTTACAATTGTTGTGTGTATATCAGGGTTGTTTATTAAAGGATCATTATTGTATATGTATTCATAATTGTAGTTGAGGTTGGTGGCAACTGTTAGTGTTGATAAAGTTTTGATTTTCGTTTGCTGGAAAAAATAAAAGAGTTTTAAAAATGCAGGTTGTTTTAGTTTTATATGAAAACTTAGTTAATTATTATGTTTTCGGCTTACTCACGTACGCAGAAGACGGTTTATCTTGATAAAATCAATTGCAAAAACGTGTGAATACATTAATACATATACCCGTAGGTGCATGTATGTAGGATGATAAAGATAATAGCATACTTTAAATCTGTATCAACAGATTTACAACTTGAACAAATTTTTTAGTAAGTAATAATATTATCATCATTAAATGTTTATATAATATGTATGTAGGGTATGTAGGTAGGTCAGTCAGAATTAAAATTATAGATACAATACTTATAAGTTTTACATATAATTTAAATACAATTAATTATGTACCTTTGTTGCCCATTTTAAAATAGTCTGTGCAGCTTGTACTTTCTTCTTAAACTTGTAGTATTTGTTCAGGATACTCCAGCATTCCCAACACACATTACTGATGGAATTCTTAAGCTGAAAATGTTATCAACATTAAATCTTTACTACCTAATATTATAAAACTGAAGAGTTGGTTTGTTTTCTATGTACCTATTGGTTCAAATTAAATAATTATTTTTGTGTTGCGTAGTCCACATATCGAGGAAGGCTATACAACATCACGCTACGATCAATAAGAGGCGAGCAGGGAGTGAAACCGCGCGGGAATAGCGAAAGTTTTTTTGTCTTTCACATAGCAACGGAACATTGGTCGGTATGTTTTTTGGGTCTGTGTGTAGACCTAGCCATAATCTTTATATTATCTATTTATTCTTTAAATTTAGGAAAAATACAGCCTCTCCTTCAGTTATTTTTCTGTGTTTAAATACTTGAAGTAGTACTAACCTCCAGTAATGAAATTTCTTCTATTATTGCCGACATTGCCGTTATCTTATCCAAAGGAATTAAACGACGATCTGTACTGAGGCAAGCTGAACATATATTTCCTTTATCTCCCATTTCTTTACCTTAGTCTTTACTATTTTAACGAATTAACGATTTTTATGTATACAAGAAACAAGAAACACTATCACAACAACATTTAATATTTTTTTAAATTGTCTGTCACTGTCAGTGATGTCATGTAATCATGTGTGGTTTGATATCTTTGATTTTTGGGACGGTAACAGAACTTGAAAACCTTTTAATAGATTATTAATAGATTACCTAAAACAAAATTATTCTTATTACAAATATTAGGCAGTGTTTATTGAAATATTTGTACGTATTTCTGTCATTTTATATTTTTTCTGATGTTTTTTGGGCTCTAAATAGCCTGAATATGTGCATGCGTCAGACTTCGATTTTTGAAATAAAAGCTTTTATCTGTCAATTTGACATTAACAACAAAAACAGCTGATTGAATTTGTTTGGATGTTTAACCGGCGAAAACATTGTTTTTATTGAGTTTTAATAAAGTATACCACGATGTTAATGTGTCGAGTTTGCTTAGCAACTAAAGACAGTGACAATATAACCGATTCATCGTGCTTTACTAGACTTTTCATTCAAATCTTGGGCTTAAAAGTAAGTAATGTATAACCTCTTGTCTTGATATGTTTTCTGTTTATAATTCTAATATTATATGCTATTAGAGCGTCTTTTTGTATTTTATTATACGTACTTGGTTCTTCCGTACTTATAAAAATCATCCCAATTCACCTGACACACGACACGTGAACGGCCAGACCGATTTTGCTAATAATAATTACTTTTTATAAGGGCTGACAATTTAAATTCAAATATCTTTATTCCTGAACACAGTTCAATCATTTTCATTCAGTTCATTTAGATGCACTGCATGTTGTTAGGTGAATGCGCAGTTTACCGTGTTCCACCAACCAAGGCATGCAATTATAAGTATGCCATTTTTTTTAAGGGGGGAAAATCATCAAATGACTCGTTATAATCCTAGTAGCCTACATTATAATCGACCAGTTCTAGATTATAGACATTTTATAAATTATCAATTCAGTCAACGTTTTACAGATTATCTACATCTACACTAGTACCTAGCATAAACTATAAAGAAAATATAATACAAATAAGTGTTTGAATACAATTCAAACGAAAAATCTAATCTTTTCTTTGAAACTACGGGACGATTTAAAAATTATTTTACCGTTGGAATCCTACATTATCTCTAATGAAAATAGGTTAGGTATATTTATCAAGGATAGGCTAGGCTTTATGTATCTAGGCTATCTTTATATATATTTTTTTATGGCATTAGCCTGTAAACGAGCATATGGGTCACCTGATGGTAAGCAATCGGCGTCGCCCATGGACACCCGGAACACCAGAGGCATTACAAGTGCGTTACTGGCTTTCTGGGGATTTTGAGGAGTTTAAGGATCATTGGGGATTCAGGGATTGGGAAGATTGTAGAAGGGGAGGATAATTGGGCCTCCGGTAACCTCACTCACACGACAAAACACAATGCAAGCGTTGCTTCACGTCGGTTTTCTGTGAGACCGTGGTGTCGAGCCGGCCCATTCGTGCCGGCTCTCCCACACTTAAAATGATGATACTTGAATAATTAATATATAGTGATGTTTCCCATCATAAAGAAATGTTAAATTGGAGATCAGTAGAGTCTGACAAGGTTGGGTTTTTCGGGAATCTGTTTTATATTGTACAAAAAAATGTCTGTGGTATCTGTCATGGCGGTCGTGTCTGTCGTATCTGTCGTGTCGGTGGTATCTGTCGTATCGGTCGTATCTGTCGTGTCGATCGTACCTGTCGTGGCGCTCGTGTCTGTCGGGACGGTCGTATCTGTCGTGTCGGTCGTATCTTTCGTGTCGGTCGTATCTCTCGTGTCGGTCGTATCTTTCGTGTCGGTCGTATCTCTCGTGTCGGTCGTATCTGTTGTGTCGGTCGTATCTGGCGTGTCGGTCGTATCTCTCGTTTCGGTCGTATTTGTCGTGTCGGTCGTATCTGTCGTGTCGGTCGTATCTGTCGTGTCGGTCGTATCTTTCGTGTCGGTCGTATCTCTCGTGTCGGTCGTATCTGTTGTGTCGGTCGTATCTGTCGTGTCGGTCGTATCTTTCGTGTCGGTCGTATCTGTCGTATCGGTCGTATCTGTCGTGTCGATCGTACCTGTCGTGGCGCTCGTGTCTGTCGGGACGGTCGTATCTTTCGTGTCGGTCGTATCTCTCGTGTCGGTCGTATCTGTTGTGTCGGTCGTATTTGTCGTGTCGGTCGTATCTGTCGTGTCGGTCGTGTCTGTCGTGTCGGTCGTATCTTTCGTGTCGGTCGTATTTGTCGTGTCGGTCGTATCTGTCGTGTCGGTCGTGTCTGTCGTGTCGGTCGTATCTTTCGTGTCGGTCGTATCTTTCGTGTCGGTCGTATCTCTCGTGTCGGTCGTATCTCTCGTGTCGGTCGTATCTGTCGTGTCGGTCGTGTCTGTCGTGTCGGTCGTATCTTTCGTGTCGGTCGTATCTTTCGTGTCGGTCGTATCTCTCGTGTCGGTCGTATCTCTCGTGTCGGTCGTATCTTTCGTGTCGGTCGTATCTCTCGTGTCGGTCGTATCTGTCGTGTCGGTCGTATCTTTCGTGTCGGTCGTATCTGTCGTGTCGGTCGTATCTCTCGTGTCGGTCGTATCTGTCGTGTCGGTCGTATCTCTCGTGTCGGTGGTATCTGTTGTGTCGTTCGTATCTGTCGTGTCGGTCGTGTCTGTCGTGTCGGTCGTATCTGTTGTGTCAGTCGTATCTGGCGTGTCGATCGTATCTGTTGTGTCGGTCGTATCTGTCGTGTCGCTCGTGTCTATCGTGTCGGTCAATTAATCAATCAATCATTTCTTATTAGTAAAACATAGGTAACAAAAATACAAATCTTAAAGGTGAACAACAGTGCGCTATGTTTTGTCTATGTTAAGACATACAAATATATTTTGGAGTTTCAGTTTAGATACTATTGTGGCTTACAATAAAAAATAAAATTGTCACAATTAAAAGAAAATGTCACAATAAAAAAAAGTAAATACATACTGAAAAAAATACAAATAACAGTGTAGGCAGGAATTTAATCATTTGTGAAATCGTCAACTGTGTAATAACATTTATGAATTTTTTTTTGCAATGTTGTCTTAAATTTGAGGACAGGTTATCGTTTTATTTGATCTGGTATTTTATTATAAATTCTAGGAGCAATACCAAAGAAACTTTTATACATGTTTGTACATTTTATACCGACACGACAGATACGACAGGTACGACCGACACGACAGTTACGACAGATACGACCGACACGACAGATACGACAAATACAACCGACACGACAGAACGACCGACACGACAAATACGACCGACACGACAGATACGACCGACACGACAGTTACGACAGATACGACCGACACGACAGTCACGACAGATACGACCGACACGACAGATACGACAAATACAACCAACACGACAGATACGACCGACACGACAAATACGACCGACACGACAGATACGACCGACACGACAGACACGACAAATACGACCGACACGACAGATACGTCCGACACGACAAATACGACCGACACGACAGATACGTCCGACACGACAAATACGACCAACACGACAGATACGTCCGACACGACAAATACGACCCGACACGACAGATACGACCGACACGATAGATACGACCGACACGACAGATACGACAAATACGACCATTTTTCCGATGTGTTTGTTACTGTTAGGTTAGGATTCTGATAAAATGTTTAATTTTTACAGGACTTCAATGAAATCCTATACCTTTGCATGTGGTGTAGAGCTGTGTTAAGAAGAACTATGTCCATCCAGAATATAGCTTTGGAATCACAAGAAATATTACAGACTCAGGTATTAAATTTCAACGCCTGTATAATAAGTACATTTAATTGTAATGTTTAGCGACTCGACCCCGCAGTCAAACCATTCCAACGGTTTTGTGGGGCTTAGATTATAAGATACTTACCTGTGTTTTTAAATAAAATTATAAAAAAAAGTCAGTTAAAAATGACAATGACCAAATTTGTATGGAGCGTGGTGCCTTTTCATTTTTTCGCGGCAGTTGATCGGATGTGGATAAACTGATGCAGAATAACATTACAAACAAAAAAATATATGGGGTCTTATATCAAAAACACAGTCCAAACCGAGTTAAATCAGTTCAAAGATGTGAAAATAGTGCTATATAATTCCTGTGATTTTGTTGATGGTGACCGTACACAACACATATTTCTTCATTTACTTATCAGAAATATTTTGTAATAAATGTTTATAGACGATTTCAAGGAATATAATAAAGCTTATTGTGGACTTTTATAATTATTTTTTTTGTTTGTTATTTCTTTTTTTTATTATTATTTTTTTTTGTTATAAGGCCACGGAATCAAAACAGAGTGAACCATTAACTGACCACTGCCGAAGAAAAAAAAACATTTCGTTTGAGTGGCTAGCGTGTTCAATTTATATGTATACGCGGTTTATGGCCTATGACAGATTTTCATTATCAATTTCCTCTCAGTCAAAAACCCGCAAAATACTTTACTGAGCCCTATCATGAAATGCTATGTTTGTCAGCTGCGGCGTCGGTAGCGGATTGAGTAGTAACAGTCGTCAAAACACGAAAAAATCATTTTTCTGTCTACTTCTCCCGACTTACTTCCGATTAGTACCTAATCTAACTACAGTTAATACTTTAATCTACATCTAGCATAAGATTCTGTACAAAGACATCGTTATTCAGTCACAAAGAGATGCATTTCGAATGATCACATTATATGAAAAAATTATGCGATCATCTGACGTAGGTGTAGTCCATCACTTTACAAAGTCGGCGGTTTGCTTTCTTCAAAAGATTATGCTAACTATAAAGTAGATGAGTCTCCCACCAGGAGTCAACGACAAAAAAATACTTTATTTTTTATGATGTTTGGACGGCTACAACTCCTCAACCCACCAATGGTTCCACAGCTGACACTCATGAAGCTTCATGACACAACTCCTAGAAGCATCCCACAGGTTATCGACTGAGAGAAAATAGCTAATAAAAATTAGCGACTGGCAATATGGATATATTGTGGTATGATTTGGTGTTTCTGTGCCCGGCATACATTGGCGCGCAATTTAAAGTTAAGAATTGTGACCAAAAATATGAATAATTTGAATAAAAAAACGAAAGTAAAATGTTTTATTCCAGCTCCTTTCAACGCTCATAACTCAGTCCAGACTGAGATTTCCATATATGAGCCCATAGACAATTTCGTTTGTAATGACATTCTAGACAATATTTTCCATAAATCATCGACTGCCGCCAGAAAAAAGAAAGGCACCAATTTTAGTCAATGCCCTTTAAATGAGAATTTGAAGGCAATAAATTAAATTTTAATCGAACCTTGGACTTCTCTATTAATTATTAAGTTTTCTCACGTTATTATTTGATGTAGAACTCGACTAGTGTCAAGTCATACCTACTAGAGGTTCATATTTCAGTTAAGTGAATAAACCAAAAATATAATAATAATTGTGGGAGAGCCATACTTTGGCACGAGTGGGCCGGTTCGACCGGAGTGATACCACGGCCGAGCAAAAAACCATAGTGAATCAACCACAGCGTTGTCACTCATACGACGTAATTACCCCCCCTCCCCAGTCTTCCCAATCCCCGAATCCTCCACAATCCTCAAATTCGCAAATCCCAAAATACATATACAATACATGGCCCATGGCCACCTGGAACACCAGAGGCGTTACAAGTGCGTTACCGGCCTTTTGGGATAAGGAATTTGAGGTCGAGGTATCACTCCAGTCGAACCGAGCCATTCGTGCCGAAGCATGGCTCTCCCACACTTGTATGTGATGTACCTAATATTTAATCTTCACAATTTCAGATCACAACCGATTATCCCAAAAACCAAAAAAGGACACATACACTAAAAACTATAGAAAATTATCAAATAGACATACCACCAACACAACATACTACAAATACAGATAAACAAGAATATGAATTAACAATATATTCGTCAAAAGATACCAAAAATAATGAACATAACGAAACACAATTCGAATTCCACGAAATAATTGACTATTCAAAAGATTCCATTTTTGAAAATGAATTGACAGTTGCAAAATTAAGAAAACAAGATGTAGATTATAAAGATTATAATTTCGAAGTCATATTTTTGGATGCAAATGATCAGTTAGAGGAAATTAAGTTAAATAAATTGAAATATAAAGATTTTGAATTCCAATGTGATGATTGTGGAATTGGATTTTTGACTAAAGACGTTTTGGACGAACATACGATTAGACATACTAAGGTGAGTGCTTATTTATTAACCGTTTGAATGTCGGTATATGAGATACTAATACGGAGCTGCGGAGGACTTAACGGGTTACCGGGGTTCCGGCTCGAAGTGCAGGAGTAGGAACGGTGTGGTTTTTAGTCAGTAACAGTCTGACACTCCGCTCCGCCTCACCCAGGCGGGAGAAATAATTCGATGATTGTCCTCCCTTAAAAAAAGATATGCTCGAAAAAAAAAATATGACTAAAAATGCTCATGCGCATTGTATGATAAAATATGAGGGTATATCGAAAACTATAACCATGGTCTGAGTCAGACTGCCTCTTTGGCCGAGTGGTCGCAAGTGCGACTGCCGGACAAGGGGTCTTGGTTTCGATTCCCGGGACGGGCAAAGTTTTACTGTGTCTTATGTACACCTCTGCCTATTCCTTCGGGGATGAAAAGGCGAGATGTTATGTCATGTTATGTAATTAAGAAAAAAATACAGTTTTTTATTTCAATTTCAGCTCTCAGGCCCATACAAATGTGTACTCTGCTCCCTACACTTTAAATCTCAAGATGTGCTATCCCAGCACAGACTGTCTCATAGACGAAAATTTAAATGTTTACTCTGTTCATACGCCTGCAAACGTTGGGCCCAATGTTTGTCACATAGGACCAAATGTGGTGGTATTATGGAGCCAACCATATGTGGAGAATGTTCTAAGATATTCAAGTAAGTATCTATAAGGGCATTTTTTTAAGGGGGGAAAATCATCGAATGACTGCTCCCGCCTGGGTGAGGCGGGAGGGAGTGTCAGACTCTTACTGACTAAAAACCACCCCGTTCCTACTCCTGCACGTCGAGCCGAAGCCCCGGTTACCCGTTAGGTTCTCCGCGGCATCTATAAGGGCTATACAAGGTGTTGTTCTAAAGGTGCGTCATTTTCTAGGAGGTAACAAGGATATTGATTCTGAGTCCGAATCAATAAAAAAAATTGTAGGTAAATATTTTTCATTTTTCTGAAATTACGGAAATCCGTAAGTGGGAAGTACACGCCGCCATCTTGTAACTAGCTTTATAACGCGGCTTAACACACACAAACTCAAACACGTAATTGATATTATTCCTAATTCCATAAAACTCCAATAAGAAACATTGCTGTCGCTTATTCTGAAATACTGTCGAACTTAAACGATTTATTATAGCCGTATTTTTAACTATTGGCTCAAAACTTTTTCTTACACTGAACTTTTATGACTTCTGTGACATGTCCCCGAGAAATGACACGGCTTCAAAACTACACATTGTGTATCAATGGCAGCGCAACTCCGTCACCGCTACCAACAATTTTTTTATGGCACGAACCGGCAAACCGGCACATTGAGAAGTGAGGCGTGGTCATCACACGACTGTAATTTTTATTATAATCAAAAACCTGTAGAAGGCCTCTACTGGACTATGGACCTTCTCGACTTATGATAAGGCCTACTAATTCGCCTGCTCTTGGCAGGTGGGTTGTATATCGCAGTGTAAAAGGTTCAGGTTTATCAGAGAGCGCTGTTGCCCGCTTTTTTCTTCGTAGGACGCAAACGAGCAGACGGATCACCTGATGGTAAGCAATCGGCGTCGCCCATGGACACATGGAACTGGAACACCAGAGGCGTTTTTTTTAAGGGGGGAAAATCATCGAATGACTGCTCCTGCCTGGGTGAGGCGGGAGGGAGTGTCAGACTCTTACTGACTAAACACCACCCCATTCCTTCTCCTGCGCGTCGGGCCGGAGACCCGGTAACCCGTTAGGTTCTCCGCGACTCCGAATCGGCATCAGCCCTGTTGGGCCCCATCCGTGGTGGTGTCCGACGCCCGGTGTGTCCTTCGCGATGGCTGGGTTGCGAGGAGGCAGCGCTTCGCTGCCTGTCTTTTGGGGCTTAGGAATTTGAGGAATGTATTCGGTCTACGTTTTCTATCAAAATAATTTATTTGTCATTGTTCCAGCAACGAACATTCGCTGAAAATCCACATGAAAATACATAAGACTGAGAAGAAATATTGTTGTGCTGAATGTGATAAGAAATTCATGAGTAAACACCATTTGATAGTACACGTCAGGTAATTTTGTTAAGCAGTTATTATTAAGTAAAGTAAAACATTGTGGAACGCAATATTGAATTTGAATTATGAAATATGTCTAATGACCCCAGATGGTTATCTGACCCCTGAATGATATTAAATGAAATGAAATCAGTAGTAGCACGGAGACTGGAATTGTGCCCGGTATATGGCAATAGGCCATTTTTAAAAACCCTGTAATACTTTGCCTGACCCGGGAATCGGAACCCAGACCCTTTGCCCGGCAGTCGCACTTACGATCACTCGGCCACTATATAATTTATATGTTTATAACAGATCACATTCCGGTATAAAGCCGTTCTCCTGTACACAATGCGGTCGCTCATTCGCCACGAGATCGAACCTGCGCGCTCACAGTGCAGTGCATGCACAGTACTCACAGCACTACTGCGTCGAGTGCCACATTTATTATAAGTCTGAAAAGAGCTTGAAACGACATTTTAAGGAATCGGCGAAACATGCGAGAGTGGGGAATAAACTGTGAGTAGCCCTTCTCTTTAATTAAACAAGCGTTAGTTTATTACCTACTAGCTTTTACCCGCGGCTTTGCTCGCGTCACAAAAGGATAAAAAGTAGCCTATGTGACATATACCAATACACACAGCGCCATCTATACCAATACTTTTGTTTTTCCTCAGTAATATCAAATCTTTCCGGGACTAGCTTTCACCCGCGGCTTCGCTCGCGTCACAAAAGGATAAAAAGTAGCATATGTGACATATACCAAAACACACAGCGCCATCTATACCCAACAACTTTTGTTTTTCCTCAGTAATATCAATTTTTTCGGGTTAAAAAGTACCCTATTATTTAATCCGGACTTCTAACTTTACGTCTGCAAAAATTCAAAGCAATCAGTTTAGTAGTTATGGCGTTAAAGTGGAACAAACAAACAAACTCACTTTCCGATTTATAATATAAGTAAGGATAAGAATAGCTACTTCTCCGCGGTTTCGTTCGCTCTGCTCGGCGCCTATTGATCGTAGCGTGATGTTCTAGTCAGTAGTCATAGTAGCCTATAGTCTTCCTCGGTAAATGGACTATCCGACACTAAAAGATATTTTCAAATCGGACCAGTACGTTCTGAGATGAGGGCGTTCAAACAAACATACTCTAGCTATATAATGTTAGACGACAAAAATCAACTAAATGAACGTCACTAGTTTAATCTATGTATGTTATCGACAGCACTAGCTGTCATGTTGACGATGTCATCTGTCAAATGGGACAGATTTGTAAAGTTTCCCGCGCAAAGAGTTGTAACGCGCGATTTTGGTGGGAATTTAGACGAGCATCCCGCTGTGTTCTTATAAAGGTGCTCCCTCACCGGGATCATTCGCGTGTAATGTAACGTTACAGATCTGAGCATTACATCAGTGAAGGGGGAGAACCGAGCATTACAATGCGCACCTTGTAATGATACAATCTGTAATATCTTGATACAACTTGTAACATCAATGTCTGACATCTTGCTATGTAATGCTCAAAGTCGAATCTATATGTTACATTACACGCAAATGCTCGTTAGTCAGGGAGGTATTATAGTAATGTAATGCTCAAAGTCGAATCTATAATGTTACATTACACGCAAATGCTCGTTAGTCAGGGAGGTATTATTGTAATGTAATGCTCAAAGTCGAATCTATATGTTACATTACAAGCAAATGCTGGTTAGTCAGGGAGGTATTATTGTAATGTAATGCTCAAAGTCGAATCAATATGTTACATTACACGCAAATGCTCGTTAGTCAGGGAGGTATTATAGTAATGTAATGCTCAAAGTCGGATCTATAATGTTACATTACACGTGAATGCTCCCGGTGAGGTAGCACCTTTAGAATCCATTTAGAATAAACTTTTCAGAATTGAAGTATTGAGTTTCACTTAAAAATAATAAGAAGTGTAACATTATTTTTTGTACCGTCACGAATTTTTTGCTCGAAGGAGTAGGCAGAGGTGCACATAACGGCACTTATGCCGCTGTACAATGTAACACCCACTTTTCACTATTTATGTTATGAGTCCCATGTAATAGGCTCTATTGCCATATAGGTACATTATTTTAATACCGTCTTAAACTGTTTCTTGCTCTGTGTTATCAACAACCTAAAAGTATATGTAAAATAATATATTTTTCCAGATATCCATGTAAAGAATGCTCAAAAGAGTTTTCAAGTGAAAAGCTACTGACGTCGCATATAAATACACGACACGATACAGAATACAAGTGTCAACAATGTGATAAGGTTTGTATATCATTTATTTGACCCCTTTATTATTATTTTTTTTTATGGCATAAGCCGGTAAACGAGCAGACGGATCACTTAATGGTAAGCAATCGGCGTCGTCCATGGACACCTGGAACACCAGAGGCGTTACAAGCGCATTACTGACCATTTGGGAATTGGGAATTTGAGGATTGTGTAGGATTCGGGGATTGGGGTGAGAGACTGGGGAGGGGGGGGGGGATAATTGGGCTTCCGGTAACCTCACTCACACGACGAAACAACTCAAGTTTTTCACTATGGTTTTCTGTGAGGCCGTGGTATCACTCCGTTCGAGCCGGCCTGTTCGTGCCGAAGGTCTCCCACACTTGAAAGAATAGAACGAAAAGCTACCAGCATCTCTCAACTAAATCGCGGGACGATCTCAGGCCACCGTAAGCGCGGGCCTGCGGACGGCGAGCATGGGTGGCTCCCCGTCCAAACAGAAACAGACCCGAGCGTACGGCGCGTCGCATTCCGCGCGCGACCTAAAGAGCCATCGGACCACCACGGATGGGGCCCAACAGGGCTGATGCCAATTCGGAGTCGCGGAGAACCTAACGGGTTACTGGGGCTCCGGTTCGAAATGCAGGAGTAGGAACGGGGTGGTTTTTAGTCAGTAAGAGTCTGACACTCTCGCCTCGCCCGGGCGGGAGAAGTCATTCGATGATCTCAAATAAAAGGTGTACATACATAAAGAAGTACTGACAATTCCAAGTAAGAAATAAATAATTACGTATAGTGACATCATTACATTACATCAGCGGATCGTTGTATTGCGTTTAAGGATAATTCGTAATCAATCATTAACGTTTTTGTTACAAGTGCTTGTTAAACACTGCCTCGGAGTCGCGGAGAACCTAACGGGCTACCGGGGCTCCGGCTCGAAGTGCAGGAGTAAGAACAGGGTGGTTTTTAGTCAGTAATAGTCTGACACTCCCTCTCGCCTCACCCAGGCGAGAGAAGTCTGGTCTTAAGTGTGGGAAAGCCATGCTTCGGCACGAATGGGCCGGCTCGACCGGAGTGATACCACGGCCGAGCAGAAAACCGACGTGAAGCAACGCTTGCGTTATGTGAGTGAGGTTATCGGAGGCCCAATTACCTTCCCCTTCCCCAATTTCACTAATCCCTGAATCCCCAACGATCCTCAAACGCCTAATCCCCAAAAAGCCGGTGACGCATTTGTAACGCCTCTGGTATTCCAGGTTTCCATGGGCGACGCCGATTGCTTACCATCAGGTGATCCGTCTGCTCGTTTACCGGCTTATGCCATAAAAAAAAGGTCATTGGATGACTTTCCCCCTCAAAAAAAAAGTGAGGCAGGAGTCGTTCGATGGCTTTCCCTCTCAAATCAAGTGAAAACCGGTTTTATTAATCCACTGTATCAGTTGATTTACTCACTACAGATAGTACATTGTCATAAGCCCCGCACTAAATGTGTCATACTACAATCTCTGTAAAGTATTTAAGCAAAATTAATTGTTTTATTTGTTTTATCAATCAAAGTAATAAAACTGTTATCGATATTAATAACATTATATTGATTTATGGCATCATCAAAAGCCTGTGATGAGTCCACTGCTGGACGATGGGCTTCCCCTAAATTATTTATGACATAAACCGGTAAACGAGCAGATGGATCACCTTTTGGCGTTGTGCGCCGAGTAATTTAGAGGCGCTTGCCTTTTAAATAAAACTCGTGTTAAATTTAATGGCAAAACTTATATTCGACTTGTCCATCAAAAGTGTAACGGCTTATTGTGTCACAGAGTTAATCATATACCATAGATGGTCAATGGCGACCATAGACAATATTGATATTCTCGTCTTAATACTAAAAGTGGGTGCCATAAATTACTATGCATGCATATCTACTGATAGTGGGACGCCATAACCTGAAGGTAAACACCAAGGCATTACAAGTGCGTTACCGGTCTTTTGTGAATGAGGAATTTGAGCATTGTGGGAGATTCAGAGATTGGGGAGAGGGGTAATAAGAGGGTTTGTTATAATATCCACATTTGACTTCAAAGTGCAGGTTTATCAGAATGCCAAGCATGAATAACTATTGCATTCGTCACGTAATAGTACCGAACGCGATTACCGCTCTGAGTACCAAGCACGAATAACTATCGCATTCGTATCGTAACAGTATCGAGCGAAGCGTTCCGATTGGTTGGTTCACTTGAGCCGGCCAATCAGAGCGCCGAACGCACTTGATACTATTACGTTACGAATGCGATAGTTATTCGTGCTTGGCACTCTGATTGGTTAGTTTACTGTTCTGGCTAGTCAATCAGAGGGACAAAGAGCACTCAGAGCTCGCTGCTGCCCGCGTCTTTCTTAAATGAGTAGGCGCTAAGAAATGTAATCTTGAGATTTTCATCCATTTTTAGCAATATTAATCTTGTTCATAAAATGTACGGCAAGATAAAATGATAAAAACCTTTAAAAATAAATAATAATCGTTCCTTTTTCTGTTTCAGACATTCTCCAATAATTCCAACTTGAAGAAACATGTCAGATGCATTCATGTTATGACAAAGTAATGCAATCTTTTTAAATAAATAAATAAAATAAAAGAAATACACAAGTATCTATTTTTTTCTTTACTGGCAACCGAGTCTCCAGTACGATGTTGTCGACTATACTGCCAGTTTCTTTTTTTTAAGGGGGGAAAGTCATCGAATGACTGCTCCCACCTGGGTGAGGCGGGAGTGTCAGACTCTTACTGACTAACAACCATCCCGTTCCTTCTCCTGCACGTCGAGCCGGAGCCCCGGTTACCCGTTAGGTTCTCCGCGACACTGCCAGTGTCTTATACCTATATTTTCTTGTCTTTAATTTTACGTTATGTCGCTTAAATCAAAAAAGCGAAGAACCGCAACACCAAAAGATATCGCAGAATACTTTAGCCGACCTTGGAATGGGGCCTACCGTATTTTTGAAAAGAAAATGAAATGAAATATATATTTATTCGCCATAAGACATGCACGCCAGGAACAACAAGAAAATATATACATTAACCTCTCACGCGGCTCTCGTACACACGGGTAAGCGCGCGTTCTCGTACACACGGGTAAATATTTTAATAGAAAAGCGATTTAACTATTCTGTTCAATCAAATAAAGAAAGGGTTGCAAACTGAAAAAATATCCAATCGGTGCGCGTTTCTCGTACACCCATGTGTACAATTGCGCGATGGACACTCAACTCTCTCGTACACCCGTGTGTACGAGAAACACACGAACAAATAACAACAAAAAAAAATTAAAAATAGAGAGAGAGTAAGTGCTTTTGCTCACCAGTAAGTGTGGGAGAGCCATGCTTCGGCACGAATGGACCGGCTCGGTCGGAGTGATACCACGGCTGAGCAGAAGACCGACGTGAAACAACGCTTGTGTCGTGTTTTTCTAGCGAGTGAGGCCCAATTACCCCTCCCTCCTTTTCCCAATCCCTGAATCCCCAACAATCCTCAAATTCCTAATCCGAAAAGGCCAGTAACGCACTTGTAACACCTCTGGTGTTTTAGGTGTCAATGGGCGACGCCGATTGCTTACAATCAGGTGATCCGTCTGCTCGTTTACCGGTTTATATTTAAAAAAAACACATGCCGCTAATATGAACCTCTCGTTCTTCGTCCAATAGAGAATTAGCTAGTGTTACACCGTTGGACGTTCCACATTTGACAGCTACAGTGATTGGACGAAAAAAACCGCTTCCTATAACTGTATCATTTTGTGAGCAAAGAAAAGCTAGCCCCCATTGAACCCGCGTCGTGTTTGCACTCAACCATTGAGGCAAGCAAGTACTCAGTACTCGCATAATATTATGTAGGTTGAAACACGTCACCTATTGTTTTATATCCTAACTTTTCTAGAAGGCAATTAAAAATGAATAAATGACGTTTTTTTATGACATAAGCCGGTAAACGAGTGGACGGATCACCCGATTGTAAGCAATCGGCATCGCCCATGGAAAACTGGAACACCAGGGGCGTTACAAGTGCGTTACCCGCCTTGTAGGGATGAGAAGTTTGAGGATCGTTGGGGATTCAGGGATTGGGGAGATTGGGGAAGGAGGGGGCGGGGTAATTTGACCTCCGGTGTAACCTCACTCACACGACGAAACACAACGCAATCGTTGCTTCACGTCGATTTTCTGCTCGGCCGTTGTATCACTCTGGTCGAGCCGGCCCAGAAGTGCCAAAGCATGGCTCTCCCACACTTAAACAACTACATGCAATAATCAAGTACTTTGGTAAGCATTTTTGCACATCAAGATATGAATTACCAGTATTAATTGGTCGTCAGATTTGTGGAAAATTCATACAATGCGAGTCCATGATAAAATGGTTTGTTATACCTCCATGAATCAAACTATGATGGCCAGTATAAACTGACCGTTGAAAGTACGGATAGATCATACAATGCGAGATCATTATAAGATGGATATGTATAGATTAACTATCTAACTACACAGAGTAGCTTATGCCAGCTGCTGTACCGTGGGATAAAAAGTAGCCTAAGTGTTATTCCAGATCATAGGTAATCTACCCCTGTTCCAAATATCATCCCGATGCCTTCAGCCATTTTGACTTGGTTTAGTAACATACATACCATAGATATAAAATATTATATATATTTCTGTGATACATACCTACACACAAACTCACAGAGTTTCGCATTTATAAAATTACTAGCTTTTACCCGCGGCTTCGCTCGCGTCACAAAAGGATAAAAAGTAGCCTATGTGACATATACCAATACATACAGTGCCATCTATACCAATACTGTTGTTTTTCCTCGGAAATATCAATTTTTTCCGGGTTAAAAAGTACCCTATTATTTAATCCGGACTTCTAAATTTACGTCTGCAAAAATTCAAAGCAATCGGTTGAGTAGTTACGGCGTGGAGGTGGAACAAACAAACAAATTCACTTTCAGATTTATTATATTAGTAAGGATATATTAAGATTTAACAAAGTACCGTAACAAAAGGCTAGGCTCACACACACATACGTGTGACGTCAACGGACATGCCTCTGCGCACACCTCCGTTTGAGTTTACCGTAAAGCCGCTACAGCGCTTTACGTGTGGGAGAGCCATGCTTCGGCACGAAATGTGGTATCACTCCGGTCGAGCCGGCCGGATACCACAGCCTCACAGAAAACCGACGTGAAACAACAGTTGCGTTGTGTTTCGTCGTGTGAGTTATTTTATCGGAGGCCCAATTACCACCTCTCCAATCTCAACAATCCTCGAATCTCAAAGGATCCTCAAATTCCTAATCCCCTAAAGGCCGGTACCACAATATTGAAACTAATAATCAATTTTAATCTAAAATCTTTAAGGACGATTTGTCACAAGTGCAGCGTGGCGCCGACCATGTAAGCTTTAAATGCGCCATCGTTTTATGGAAGGAGGAGATAATGATTTCTGTCTGTAACGGTTCTTAGCTAATTGGAATAATGCGACAGGGTATGAAAATTAAAAATCTAAGTAGTCCGTAAGTTAGGTAATGAAAAAATATTAGAAACGTATTTTTTTATTTTGTCGTATAATAAAATAATACTTAGATAAAACAAATCAAAGTTTAGTAGTGGGAGTCAAAACGTCATTTCTACGAATAAAATGTACATAGAAGTGACGTCACGCGACATTTCAAATCATTATATCGTCGAAAGTATTCGTTTCTTTAAGAAACTAAAAATACGTGTCTAATGATTTAAAATAATCTACCAGAAAACGTTAAAATAAAAATTAGGCATCTACCTACCCTATTTACAAAGTAAGGTAGTTTTCCTGAGTATATACCCACAGGTTAAAATATCAGTATAAAAACGTCTAAACCGATTTCTATTCAGCGCTTAATAAAGCTGGATACTCAAAAACAAAATAACTTCAGCCGGTTCCACAGTGACGTCACACGCAAGACACCCAGTCATCCCGCGTCGCGTTAGTTCATTTGAAATTCGAAAGGAACGCGCACGCTTGCGCTGTGCGCACGAAAATACCGCGAACGAAATTTCAACAAATTAAACATTCCGCGTTAAAAAATACATTGTTTATACAAGTGAATTACAAGTGTTTAGTGCAAATATTTGTTTTAAATAGTGTTTTGTGTGTGCAAACTGTTTCCCGGATACCAAAAATGGCGGTAAAGTGCTATTCTTGTATTTGTTTTGCTTTCCGAAAATACTTAGGTACTTAAGCTTGCAGGCGTGTGGAGTTCTTGCCAAATAATTTTATCATCATTCGGTTTTACATTTACAGTCGAATAGTTTGAATTTGGTTAATTTATTTAGTTTATTTTCATCATCATCAGATTCTGACTCCATCACTGCTAGATTGTAGGTCTCCTCTTCAAGGAGGTGGTTGCTACAATCTCACTTGGCAAGCGGGTTGAATATCAAAGTTTTAAAGGTTTATGTTTACCAGAGAACGCTGTCCGGTCTCTATCAAATATGTAGTCCCTTTTAGTCGTCTTTTGCGACATCCGAAGTCAAAGTCAAAAGTAAAAGTCAAAGCATTTATTTCAATTAGACCAGGAAGGCACTTTTGAACGTCACAACATAATAATTAAATACTAAATAATAAGAAAAAATGTCAGTCTGTAGGTCAGTCCTCTAGTGAAGCTCGTTCCAAAGTGTAGATTCCTATGGAGAAGAACGAGCAAGAAACTCCGTGTGAAGAGTTATAGTGACTGGTCCCTAGGTAAGTGCTGTAACAGGCTTTGGACTGATGGGTTTCGGAACAGGTCTATTGGAGGATCCTGTGCCTCTATACAGGGTAGAATATTGTAATGGCACTTGAAGGGCCTCTTAATACTTTAGATAGAAAATTTTACTCAAAGAAAATATTCCTTTATCTATAGAGGTATATAAAAGAAAGTCGTGTTAGTTACACCACTTATAACTCAAGAATGGCAGAATAGATTTGGCTGAAAATTGGTAGGGAGGTAGCTTAGAGCCAGGAGACCGACATAGGATATTTTTTACTTTTTACCGAAAATCACGAACGGGGCGGGAAAAAATGGGATTACGCGTACGAAGTCGCGGGCAGAAGCTAGTTATCTATATATATATAAAAGAAAGTCGTGTTAGTTACACCACTTATAACTCAAGAATGGCAGAATAGATTTGGCTGAAAATTGGTAGGGAGGTAGCTTAGAGCCAGGAGACCGACATAGGATACTTTTTAACCAACATTTTTCTTTTACTTTTTACCGAAAATCACGAACGGGAACGGGAAAAAATGGGATTACGCGTACGAAGTCGCGGGCAGAAGCTAGTTTTTTAAAAGAAAGAAAACCTCATTCAAAACATCGGCAATCGAACCGGCTACAATCTGTAAAAGTTGCACCCTGTACATTTATTCTAGGTATCGATATTTAGGGTCAATAAGGCGAGAGGGAGTATCAGACTCTTACTGACTTAAAACCACTCCGTTCCTACTCCTGCTCTTCCTGCTCTTCTGCGACGGGCATCAGACCTAGTGGGCCCCATCTGTGGTGGTCTGATACCTCTTTGAAGCGTCTGGTTCTGGT